AATTTTCTTTCCTTCTCTTCTTCCAAAGGTTTGTCTAGAAGATGACGACAATTTGGAAGAAGCTGGGTGTTAAGGATACATGGACGTGCTGATATACCCCTTATGACTGCGACGGTGTTTGATGCCCTTGGTAATGGGCTATGGCAGGTGTGTTCTTGCAATCAGCTTGCTGCTTGCGAAATAATCCATCCAAATACTGCAGGCTACACACTATGGGACTGCAACGTTGTTGCTAGCGATGTAGATAGGTCGATTGATATTGAAATGAACGTACTGGCGGACTACATATTTTATTTTTCTTTTCAATACTTACTTCGAGTAGAGTCTAGACTACAGGAATGTAACATAGTGATTAGGGCGCGGACGATCCCATCAGATAAAAAAAAGCCGAGCCGAGTGAGCTGTTATCAGTAGCGCCTCTGATTGGCGGGTCGCGTGGAGGACGCGTGCCGGGCATTGCAAGTAAACAGTCAACCGTTCGTCCAACCCATTGAATCCACTGGAATCACTTCCCGTCAGACGATCTGCATTCTTTCGGACACAATGGATCCGGTGCGCAGCCGGTGATGTGATCCGATCTGCGAAAAATAAAAAAAAAAAAACGGTGTCGTCTGCGCATATACCTCTCTTGTCCATTGAACCCCCTCATCTCGTTCCCACAAGACACGCGCCACCTGCATTTAAAACAGTCCCCACGATCGCACGTTCTTGCCCGTCCTCCGTCTTGTTTTTCCGGCACAGAAACGTGCCAACCAGTGGCAGATTTCGTCTGACATCATGGATAACGAAGTCCCTCTGCCCCCGCCCCGGCGCATCCGGCATCGCTCCCCAACGAAAACCCCCGTCGCGTCCGGCTCGTCGCTTCGCAAGACGTATCAGCTCTCGCGCTTTGATGACCGTTCCAGCCAGCCGTCGAGTGACCCCGCGCTCTTTTCAAGTGATGATATCCCCGCGTCTGGTCTAGAGAACTACCATGCACCTATCCCCTCCGGGAGCAGGAAACGACGATACCGCGGCACTTGGTGGGGCGAGATGGTGAAGGATCCGAAGCGGAAGAGGGCGGATTTCAAGGAGAAGCGACATGTGGATAGCGGTGTATGGATGGGCAGCGATGAATCCGGAGCGGATTCCCTGTTGCCGTCGGAAGATCCGTCGATGTGGGGTGAGGAGTTGCTGAAGGATACAACCAGTTCTACAGTAACAGGGAGCGGGGCTGATGTCCCTATGCGTGATAGCGACCGGTGGACAGCACAAAGTCAGCCATGGACGCAGCGGAGTGGTCTGAAAAAGGTCGAGGAGCCCAAAGAGCATCAGGCGGCACGGAATATTGTCAACGAATGCTTGGAAAGTGGACAGGATAGCGTCGACTTAAGGTGAGTTTGTTTATTCACGACAACTGTGTTCGACAGGCTAATACCTCGCAGTAATTGTTATCTGAGGATTCTCCCTCCTGGCTTGCTGCGGCCTTTGCAGCATCTCACTAAACTCCCTGCTATCATCGAACCTCCTATCACCGAAGATGTCTACAGCTCCTTACAACCCTTCCTGCGTTTATTCCTTACCGGCAATTCTCTGCAATCAGTGCCTGGGGAATTGTTCGAGCTTGGCTCCCTGAAAGTCCTTAGTCTTCGCTATAACAAACTCACCGAGATCCCACCGGCGATAAGAAAGTTGACCTTGTTGCAAGAAGTTAATCTTGCCGTCAATCGCCTGCAATACCTTCCGTGGGAGCTGTTGTGGCTGATCAAGAAGGGTGACCTGAAACATATGATAGTCCGGCCCAACCCGCTCCTGCAGATCCACGAGGCAGAGATTGCCCAGTGGCATTCACCGGAGGGCACAGAACTGGACTTACCAGAGGGAACATTGAAGCTTTGTGACTATGAGGGTCCAGCGCCCGAGGAAGCGTGGGCTCCCATTCACGTTGCCACCGGTCCTGTCCGCCGATTTAATATGGAGGGCATGCCGGCCGATGCTCCAGCTAGCGGCATGAGCGCTAGTCAACCGGATCAACAAGAATCCCGGGTCCCGTCTCTACGGGAAATATCTCTTCTGGCGTGCACGCGGTCGACCTTCTTCGACCAGGTCTCAGATGAAGAGATGGCTGACTATCCTGGCTTGATACTCCGCTTGCTCCGACAGGCCAAGGAGGTTTGGAGCGGTGGTGGCCGGTCATGCTCGGTGTGCCACCGGAGCTTTGTGCTTGCTCGCACTGAGTGGATTGAATGGTGGGACTGCAGTACATATGAAAGTGGACTGAAAGGGCCACGCTGTCCGGGTGACAAACTTCGTCCCCTCCCTTTCCGCCGACTAGGTTGCAGCTGGGCCTGCGTGCCGAACGCTGAGGCGGATCAACAGTCTCAGGAAGACATGCAGCTGTGAGAGGACTAGTACTGATAATTCGGGGCTCGATTCTGTTGTATAGATATATGCCTTGGGCGGGCAATATTTCTAAATGCCCAGTATAGTATTCGGGTCATCTATTCACATAGGGTGTATAACTACCTCATTTTTTGACACACCTATTTGCTTGATGGGGTAAAAGTAACCAACAATTGGACCGCAATATAAGCCATTAAGTAGACAGATTCACACACTACCATCCAGCGTCATGGAGAATGCCCAGCCATGCTCTACTGTATCCCACACCACGGATTCATAAGATTCGCCTCTATACCTCGACCCAGTTCCTCTGATTCGTGCAATCCGTATACCAAGATGAGGGGAACCCTGCCCAGACATTCTAGGCAAAAAAGACAAGAATAACAACCGGAGAATCTCATTCCTGGACGTTATGTTTAGCTCCATTTCTCCGCAAAGATCCCCGCACGATTTCTCAGCCACAAGACGGGGTAACAGCCAAGACCACAGATCAGATATAATCCATATATGAACAAAGACAAAGCACACCAGGACTGAATTAACTACCCAAATCAACGTCCACACCAAAAAAATGACCATCAACCAAGAGTCCCAATCCCTCCCCACAGCCGCCCAAATCCCCCTCCAAAACTTCCACCTTCCCCCCTTCCCCACCGAAGCAGCCAATCTCCAACACCTAACCCTAACATCCGACATCAAACCAACCGACTACGCAGACCTCCTCTCCACCCCTCTATCCCAGGACGCAATACCACCCACTCTACCCGGGGGAATCGAATCCTTAACCCTAGAACTCTTCTCCCTAGGCTATCCAGCCCCCTTCCTCACAAAACTCGGAAAAGCCCTCCCCAACCTCAAAGACCTAACGCTATACTCCCATCTTATCGACGGCGTAAGCGACTCCTCCCGTCGAGATGCAGGAGATTTCATTCACAATATCTTAGCCGGGTCAAAAGATGGGGGGCTACGAGAACTCCATCTCCTAGACCTATTCTGCCGAAAAGGTTTCATCTCCGGAATCGGTGACATTCTACACGACCTGAGTAGTAATGGAGACCATCCGAAATCCCAAAGCGCATTACGCTTCCTGGAAGTCTCGTATACGTATCGAGGCCATTCGGATGGGGAGTTCTTGTCTCGGATTCCGGTGGATGAGTTACCGAAATTGCTTGTTGGAGGGTTGGTTGCTGTTTCGTTGAGGTTGGAGGCGACTACTACTACTGCTCCTGCTGGTGGTGGTGGTGCTTCTGATGCTGGGTTGGAGGGTGTGCCTGATGATCCGGCTGATGTAGATGAGAATGGGGAGCGGGTTGGGAGGAAGCCGGAGGGGATTGTACCCGTTGGTTCGGGGGATGAGGGGACTAGGCTTTTGGTGGAGAAGTTGGTTGGGACTGGAACTGGGGATGAGGTTGAGTCTGAGTCTGAATCTGGCTTGAGGATGCTGGATTGTACGCTCTATACCTTGTCGCTTGAGCAGCTGGGACGTGTGCTGGGACGGCAGAGACGGTTGGCTGTTCTCAGTGTTAGTGTTCTTGTCTCTGAGGGAGATGATGCGAAGCGGGAATTATTGGAGACTCTGAAATTGGGGGGTGAGGAGCTTGAGGTTGTGGAGGTTGTGGGGGTTCCTGGATCGGAGTGGAAGGATGTAAGTGTTTTTTCTTATTTGCGTAGTTTTCTGTGTTGACTTATATGGTTGGTGTGGCTAATTTCGATCTAGGTTGCGGACTCTGTGAAGTCTGGGGATCTCTTCCGGGATGTGTTTCCTTCGTCGTCTGATATGCTGGATCTTGCTGCTGCTTTACCGTGTTTGGAAAGCTTTTCGATGACTATTTTGAGGGCGCCGGCCTTTGGGTCTATTTCTTGGGCGAGGAGGGATGGTAAGTGGGTGGATGGCACTGAACGATCGTAGGAGGGCCGTGGTGTTGACTTGTGGGTTGAGGTATTTCTGGTTGGTTTTACTTTCTGTCTATTTTCTCAAAGTGCCATATTACATGGATTCGTCTGTGCATGTCGCTGGTTCTATAATATAGTCACCGAATACACTGCGAGAATAGAAGGCATAGTGAAAGCACTGAATCTCTCTCTCTCTCTCTCTCTCTCTCTGCAACTGCCTCCAATTCTCAACGTCGAGTCTCTGGCCGGTGAACTTTACAATACTAGAGAAAAGGCTGCATCATGAAGCAGGAGACAGTTCCAAGACTCAGTTGAGGGCCACAGATGGATATATTACTTTTTGGTTGTGACAGCTGAGGTAACTGCTGGCAGCAATGGACAGGCGAAACTCGTTCTCACTTTTCCTCTCGTCACAACTTGTGATGGCGAAATTCTTGCTTGCCTGCCTGGTGGCTGCCTGCCAAGGAGCTCAGAAAGTCCTGACTAACTTGACTGTTAGAATTCAGAAGACTTGATTGTTTCAGAAAAGCCCACTGCTCAACCCCTGCTTTGAGCCATTCGACAGTCTTTTCGGCCAAAGCCCTAGGATCCTCCATCGGTCCAAAATGCCCAGTATCTCGCACGACGATATACTTGACTTGACCTTTTGTTAACCCCCCACCTCCACCAATGCCAACTCCAGTTCTGTGTGCAATGGAGTCCCGCAGTTGACGGCTTATAAGCTGCGAGCGATCACCGAAAATATATAGTGTCGATGGGCGCAAATGTGGAAGGTTGTGGAATGTAATCACTGGCTCCGGGCGGTAAAAGAGGATATCAGAAGGCGCCTCTAAAGATAGATCTGGGAAACCCAGGCGTCGGTCTTCCGGGGACTTTGAAATAAAGATTGGTCGAACAAAGGTAAATAGTTCTTGGCTCTTCGTCGTTGTTAATGTGACTCTCCCTGCATGATCTCCAGGAGCACGACGGAGCCCGTATTTAATCCACATGTCAAATGCTCGTGAGTCCCATTTTTGGAATGTAGCGCTGTTTCGAAACTGCGATATTGCCGTATCTAGGCTGTCGAAGGTCTCTCTTCGACGCATGGATGCTTGTGCTGGAGGGTATCTGCCTTGGTTTTCCGCGGAGTAGGGGAACACAATTGGTTCCACCAAGCAAAGGCCTTGGAAGATCCTGGGGTGCATGAGAGATACGTTCATCAACTGGGTTGCACCCATGCTGTGTCCTATACCGAATATAGGCCGTGGGAGCTTGTCTCGCAGTTGGTTGATCATCAGAATAAGATCGCGACTATGGTCGAACGCGGAAGCTTCTCGTACAAGCATGGTTAGGTCTCAAGAGTCCAATGTCTCGAAGGATAAGCCAAAAAAAAAAAAATAAAATAAAATAAAATAAAATAAAATAAAATAAAAATAAAATGATACGTACGGTCGTTCCCTAACTTTTCTTCATTAAGGACACCGCTTGCACCCTGATGGGTGGCATCTGCTATCCATATCCCCCGTAACTGCAATCCCGCTCTCTTGGCTGATTGGTAGATCTCCACCCATAACGGTTCGTAGACCTCCTGGAAACATTCGTCAGGTATATTCTTTTGACCACGTTTTGGTACTCCAGTGATACCTTCGGTATTCCATTGGCATGAGCGGAAATGATACTTATAGCTCCCGGGCATGGGTCGAGGTTATCCCACGGCACGTATTGCTTCGCTATGATCGAAAGTGGGTCCTCTTGACTGGTGGTCGTAGCCTTAGGATACTCACGGATATGCTGACCAAGAAATTTATGTTCTATAACTTGGAAAGTCGCAGATATATCGACATTGGTCGGGGCAGAACACATCCTGAGAATTGATTTGTATCGTATCTCTTTCTGATGAAAACGTCTCTCGTAGACCTACCAGCCCTCGTCGTGACGTGTCAGTTAGAGCTCGATGAAGATTATAGAGGGTAGAGAACCCTAATGCCTTACTCGTCTCGTAAAGTTCGTCAACCGCTGTGGGTTTTGGGTAATCCCCAATGCCGTTGATGGCAGTATATTACGACCCACGAGTTAAAATGATATAGAACGGTGAAGGAATCGCATAGAAGTGCATGATCATTACTTGATGATTATATTACTCTTATAGGCGCACATAAGAAGAATATAGATCACACGTGTGACCACAGAACCCTAGTGCTTTTCGGTACAGGGGGCTGCTCTATATTTAGTTATCTTACCTATCTTGATTGTCCACTCTTGATTTCTAATAATATCGGCAGGGATTGGAGTTATATATACAGTGGGCTGCAAAAATTCAGGATCATTCGTAGATTCGGTCATATATTGTCTGAACTACGACAGGTGCTACATTCCATCATCGCTGTTCACCTTTTGATTGCGAGATATAATTAATATATATTTTATATACGAAAGGACTCCGATTTTACAATAGCGATCTATATTGCACTTGATGAATCTATCAAACTTACTATATTTGCAACAGCTTCATATATATCTTTTACTTCCCTGACTCCTTTATTTCAGCCTAGCGTGTGATCTCTTTGTTCTCTCAATTCCTTTGTTTCCTTGGAGTATAAGAAGGGTCTCAACGCCTACCTCGTCCGCAAGAAATCAACATCACATCACCATTTAAATCAGACACCTTGTCATTACCGTTGTACAAATGGCGACAAAAAAGAGACCCATCCAGCGTCGACGAGCAGACAGTGCCAAATCCAAATGTCAACAGCGGAACCGACGGATGACCACCCTGTTTCGCAAAGCTTTTGAGTATTGCTTAGAATGCGAAGCAGATGTGTCTATAATGCTCAGAGTGAGGCATACCGGCCAGATTGTCTATTTCAATTCGGATGGTGATGGTTGGCCTCTTTCCCAAGTGCAGCTGGTAAGCAATATCTTGAGGCATTGGGCATTGATAGCGGCCCTAACTGGTCTAGACGTCATGCTATCCAGTACCCAGGCAGATTACCTGGCAGGAGTTGGCAGCTCAATACAACTTAACTTTGAAAGAGCCTGGAAAAGTTTAATTGGTAGAGCCTTCGGAGCTGTGAAGCAAGTCGAACCAGTTTTATCCCAAATCACTGTTGGTTCTGAGATACTGGTCTAGGAAAGACCCGCAAACGCAATATTGTTTGTCCTTTGCACTATACGATGTTCTTGTCATCAGATCGTTGTGTAGCTCCCAGATACCAAGATATTAATCATTATGCCCACTATCTGATTGAGATTTTACCATGGATCCTTCACAGTACATAGCATCAGCTGAGCATATTCTACAGTACCAACTTCAACCTCATATATAACTTCTCTATGCGGTTGTCGATACGTCTCCATCTATGATTACAATACAGAACGGTTTCTCTCCCCAAGAGCATGCCGATTGTCAGTCAACTGATACCAGTCTTGACTCTTGTATCTCTTCCGAGATATATTTTCTTCTTCATTTAATATATTGAATTTCGCTACTGTTTTGCTGTGCTTAGAGAGATTTGTAATTATTGTTTTGGTAGTACTGGTATTCAGAACTATTTCTTAAGGGGAGATAATGAATAGAATCTAGATAGACAGCACTAGACAGTGTGATATTGGAAGGTTTCTTTTTATATTACATATTCAGGAATTTCAAAATTTGCTTCATGGCTTAGTGATTGTATGTTGTACTGGAAATCGTTGAGGAACCTGATGACATATTCTCAATATCTGTATGAAAGCGTCAGGAATAGTAAACTATAGCAATTCTACTTCTCCTCACACTAGCAAGCGAAACACCACCCTGCTTAGAATCAACTACATCCAAAAGGTGACCACCAGCTAGAGATAGATCTAAAGCTCTTCACGAAGTGCCGCGGAAATAGCCTCAAGCCCACCCTTAAGCTCCTCCACACTCGGCCATCCATACCCAATACGCATAAAAGTGTCCGGCTGCTCAAACCAATGCCCAGGCCCGACATAGGTCCCATATTTATGTAACAACCGATGATAAAAAGCATCCATACCACCCGCAGGCTCTTTCTTCAGACGAGGGAAGCAAACAACACCCCCCTCCGGTCTCGCCCATTCAACCAACTCTCCCTCCTTCTTGATCCAATCTGCCACAATCTCGCGACGCTGATCCATTTCCTTAGTGGTAGTACTCAAGATCTTCTCCTTATGGGAGAGAACCTGTTCGGCAATCCACTCGTTGATCACACTGCCGCTGATACTGATCTGTTCTTTGGCGGCTAAGAACGTTTCCTGCAGCTTAGGGTTCTTGTTGATAATCCACCCCAGTCGGATACCGGGGATCCCGTAGGATTTAGACAGGGAAGAAACACTGATGACATGATCACCTAGAGATGCAGCAATAGGGAGACGGCCTTGGTACGAGATGTCGGCGTAGGTTTCGTCGACTAGCAAGATGATTCCTCTCCCTTTAGTCAAGGAGACGAGTTTGTCCAATGTGTTACGGTCCACAATCGTACCAGTGGGGTTATGCGGTGTAGTTATACTAAGGACTTTAGTATTTGGCTTAATAGAAGCCTCAACTGCGCTGATATCGATCTGAAACTCCGATTCAAAGGACAAATCAATGAACGAAATCTCACACCCAATGGCACGCGGCGTCTCAAGATTTGTGGCGTAGTTCGGACGAACAACAACGAGGTGGTCAGTCGGTGCAAGCTGGGAGCTCGAAATGATAAAGAGAGCGCCCGCCGCGCCGGATGTAATGAGCACGTCGTCATGGGTGAGGTTATCGTGGTCTTTAACGATGAGGGAGCGGAGCGTTGTGCTGCCCTTGTGCTCGTTGTAGAGAAGCTTCAGATCGGGGATTTGGAGACCCAGAGATCCTAGGGTTTGGTCGGCGATGGAACTTTCGGAAAGATTGTATTTGATCTTGTCGTAGCCGTATTCCTCGGGGGATTCGATCTCGATGGGCATGCGGCTGTACTTCATTGTAGCGGGTGGTTGGGTGTCCGTAGAAAATGGTGGATAACGTCTGTTTCTTTACTGTTGAGGCAAATAGGTTACTGTGATATTGCGCAGAGAGCACCCTGCTTTATAATAAACAAGAAGACGCTTTCTGTGGATATTCCGCATATGCGAGTCTACTTTTCCCAATTAGGTACAGAATGCGATATGCCCAATCATGAAGGACACTTGGAATACATAATATCCGGTATTTACCCGTCTAGTATCACTGATCGTTAGAAATATCAATCCACAGCTATCCTGGAAACGGTGTTGGACATGCTTCTCCATGTTTTATCAATACCTCTCCATGTGTATTTTCAATACAGAACAGCTGCTGTGGGGTAGAAAGAAACCCTCTTGGTGTTGGTTAGTCACGTGTATGGCGTTTCCTCTCTTCCGAAGAACATGCCGATGGTTCAATCAACTGACACCAGTCTTGCATTTCGCTGCAACTTCCAATTGAAGTTTGGACATGGTAGTATTTGAAGCGAGTCAGCAATCGCTCGCCCACGAAGGCCAAGCCCCCAAACCTCTACAACGAAGGCGTGATGGCTGCTCGGAATGCCGGAGGAAAAAGGTCAAGGTAATACCAGTACTTCCGATACCCCCATTAAGTGCAACTCTCTTAGCCTCTATCTAGTGCGATTTGCGCAGACCTGTTTGTTCACGATGCACCCGCTTTCCGAAAGAGTGTAGATACGGTCTAAACTTTGTCAGTGAGAGACAACGTCCAAGGTCCCAAAATTCAGCAGAACGGCCTCTTCGCAGTCTGATAAGGCCTGATGTCAGACTATGTATTGATGAATCATTTTCGATTCTCCCACATCAGCTTCACCTCAACCCATCTCCCTTCCTATCGACAAAGGAGTCACTATTCTTTCTTCACCTCTTTGCTACTGAAACCGCTCCGCGGCTCTTTCCAGCTGCTCCCAGCATTTTCGTACGTCAGTTAGTGAATCGCGCCCTGGAGACGCCTCACCTGCTCCATGCACTCCTAGCAGCAGCGAGTAGTCATCACGGCCGCTTGGTGGGAGATTTCAGCGCGAGATCAAGGACGACGACTCTGAAATTTACCAACTTTGCTGTCTCCGGCCTACGTACTGCCCTCAGTAGGACAGAGGAGATGCCAAAAGCAGAGACAACCATGACAGCTCTTGCTTTATGTACGAACGATATCTGTAATGGAAACCGAGACATATGGCGGGCCCATCTGTCTGGAGCAACTCGTTTATTGACTGCTTTCTTGGATAGCCATACCGTAGCTTCAGGTGTTGTTGATCCGTTTGGTCTGTGTTTGGTCAAATGGTTTGCCACGCTAGATACTATGGCGAATTTGACAGGAGTCAGTGCAAGCCCGACCGATAGAGATCCACGTTGGTACCTGGACAAAATTCCTGATACGCAGGTTGGCTACGTGGACGATATATCTGGTTACTCTCCGGAGCTTATACCAATGTTGGCTCAGCTGGGACAGATGGCAGGCCGGCAAGATTTATGCACGGCAGCAAAATATGACGTGCTGTTCACCCTGCCACAGCAGCTGTTGGAAGAGGCTCAGCAGCTAGAATCCCAGATCAGGTCTATTACGGACAGGACTGTTTCAGATTCCACGTTGAAAAATCATAACAGTGCGCTTACAGTTGACTTGCTGCACACTCATCGTGCCTTTGTCCATGCTTCACTGCTTCATCTTCACCGTCGGGTTCAATTACTTCCGAGGGGCCACAGTCAAGTCAAGGAAGATATCACCAATATCGTCAACGCCGTTCTAAATATCGATCCCTTTTCTCCCGCCAATATACTCATTCTCTGGCCAATGTTTAGTGCTGGCTGTGAAACCAGCTTCGTGAGCGAACGCAACCTGATCCAAGACCGCATGGCCAATATGCAAAGCCTTGGATTGGGAAATTACACTAGAGCCAGGGATATGTTGAAAATATTCTGGTCGTCTGGTAGTTCTATGCCATGGGATATTTACTTTGCGGAACAGGGGATACAGCTGGTTTTATTTTGAGACACGTTGAGATTGACTGGCACTCCGCTAATACCAACCTTCAAAGATTGTCTGTAACTTAGTTCGCTGTGACTCTAGCATGACGAACTCTAAGGGACAGGAGGAATACTACCAGGGCTCTATGATAGCATGTGCGTCGGCATTTGGTCTATGGCTTCCCGAGCCTCATGCAGTGGCAACAGGCAACTGCTCATATCCGTTGCGCATGAATTCTCTTAGAGCTAGGAGGCCATCTACCATAACCTGGTGCTCTGGAACATAACCCATCCGAACGTAGCCTTTGAAGTCAATTCCACCCCCGAAACACTGGCTGCCAGGAACGAACATGACACCGATCTGCTTCTGCAGTTGTTGGCAGAGTACAACGTCGTCAATAGGCTTTCCTTCTCGATTGACGAATTTGATGAACGCGGTGGTCCCCGCTTGTGGCCGCGTCCATTCAATAGCCCACTCAAATTCTTTGATGAAAGTATCCAGTGCGGCAAGATTCTGCCTAGCTAACTGAATGTTGCGCTCAAGTAAGTTATGCATGGTTGGCGTGCTGAGAGCAAGAGTTGCGACGCTGTCGTCGAGCTGTCCGACAGAGATAATGGTGTAATGACGAATAGAGGCGCATGCTTCAATGATCTCAGAGTTCCTAGAGACAATCCATCCGAGACGGATACCCGCCAAACTGAATGCCTTTGACATGGAGCCTGTGGCAACCACTTTATCATATCCCAGCGAGAGAATAGAAGGCGGGTGCTCTTGCTCCCCGGTGTTGACTGAATGGAAAAGGGGCCGATACACCTCATCACTGTGGATCATGATATTGTGCTCCCGTGCTATATCAACGATTCCCTGCAGTGTCTCGCGGTTGAGCACAGCGCCAGTTGGGTTCTGTGGATTACTACAGCACACGTTAGAACATCTTTCGAGCAACATAGACAAACAGCCACTCACTTGATGATGATGAGTTTAGTGTTCGGCTTGATCAATGATTTCAATTCTTCCAGATCTAGCTGCCAGCCGGCATCTTCCTTTGATCTCCAAAGATCAACCTCGGCACCAAAACCTTTAGGAACAGAATATAGTTGTTGATAAGTCGGGTAGTGGCAAATGACATGATCCCCAGGTCCCACATTTGTGTAGAGTGCTAGGAAGTTGGCCTGAATGGCACCATTTGTGACGAGGACATTATCAGGAGACAGGCAACCTGAAGACTCCGTGGTGTACAGTTTGGCAATGTTAGACCTCAAAGCCTTCGACCCACGGATTGCGCCGTACACTTGCTTCTGAGCGTAGTCTATGATGCTGGTTTGCTGATCAGAAAACGACATGAGATCGTTGAGTGAGATCGATGCACAGCAAGTCTCTGCGAGGTTATACTTGGCATCGTTTTCATGGTCGTCCATCCACTGTTCCTAGGTCAGTCTATGCTGCCTCCTACTGATAAATGGGGTTGCTCACCCGCTCCACAGCGAATTCCTCAATCTTAACCATGTTGTATGTATTCAATGGATATGGTCCTGTCACAAATATCGGTTGAAGGTCGGTTACAAGAAGATAAAAGACGCAAGTTTAAGCAGCGTGCAGTCGTGCCTTATATATCTTTGATGAGGATGTCGGTCCTTATGGAACGCGATTACAAACTAGGGCCTGATTGGACGGAACGCATACATTTCCCAAACCAGTTATACCGGCTCCACTCTACCCCAAGCCATATATTACAGGCCCATCTCCAACAACAACAACAACAACAACAACAACAACAACAACTTGACCTGCAACAAGTTCGCTCGGTGGGTAATTCTCCTACAATCCAAAATGCTGTCAGCATCTCCCCTCAATTTATCCCGGGGCTGGCCTGCGTCAGATTTGTTCCCTACTCAGATCCTACAAAATGCGGCAGTGTCTGTTTTGTCAAATCCCATCATAACAGAGCAAGGGCTAGGATATGGCCCAGATGAAGGGCACTTCGAACTCAGAAGGAATATTGCGGACTGGCTGAGCAGAAATTATAGCCTCTCGAGAACAATGGGTGCAGAGCGTATCTGTATCTCTGGTGGTGCCAGTCAAAATCTGGCTTGTGTCCTACAGGTTTTCACTGATCCCATGCATACGAGATACGTATGGATGGTTGAACCAATCTACCACTTAGTATTCGGTATCTTCCAGGACGCTGGCTTCTACAATCGGCTAAGAGCCGTGCCGGAGGATGAGTATGGCCTAGACGTGGACTTTCTTGAGAAAGCCCTCCAGAAAAGTGCTATTGACCATCAACATGTATAGATCCCGCATCTGGTACTATCATATTGTACAAGTGGCTGACAGGCAGATAGGCGACGCTTCCGGAACGTCCTTACCGGAAGACATACACACATGTCATTTATTGCGTTCCAACATTTTCTAACCCGTCCGGAATTACGATGCCGCTGTCACGGCGCGAAGCCCTTGTACGCCTTGCGCGCAAGTATGATGCTCTAATCATCAGCGATGATGTCTATGATTTCTTGAACTGGGAGCCAGAAGGTGCCGCAGGTGGTGAGAGTACCCGTTTGCCGCGGATCATTGACGTGGACACATGTCTGGACGGGGGACCACCTAATCTTTTCGGAAACTGCATCAGTAATGGAAGTTTTAGTAAGATCGTTGCGCCAGGATGTCGGGTTGGATGGGCGGAGGGAACGCCAGAGTTCATCCGTGATCTCTCTGCGGCGTATGTTCTTCATCCTTTAGATTCCTTTCCATGCATAAGTCTTAACAGAAGATTCCAGGGGCTCGTCACATTCTGGTGGCGCACCTTCACAGCTCATGTCGACCTTCATCCACGATATGCTAGAGAACGGCTCTCTTGACAGACATATACACGAAACGCTTCTGCCAGCATATTCTCGACGTGCTCATGCTCTCACAGCGGCTATTAAGCAATACCTTCTTCCACTCGGTGTGACCTTCGTATCTAATTCGGAAACTTACTCCGTACTTGGAGGTTACTTCATATGGCTCAAGCTCCCGACTACTCTGAACGCTAAGGAGATAACTGAGAGAGCGCTAAAGGAACAGAACCTGGTAGTTGCGGAGGGAGAATTATTCGCCGTGCCGGAGAATAACCTACCAGAGAATGAGTTGAGGCATAGACTTAGACTATGTTTTGCCTGGGAGAAGGAGGAGAAGCTCAATGAGGCAGTGGAGAGACTGAGTCGCGTTATACGGACCGCACTTGGCTGTACATAACACTACTTCCAGGAATATACTAGTAGTAAGAGTCATATTGATCACTTTCTAACTACTTGAACACACGAAACCATGAGTACCGCCTATTCAGTACACATTTACTCCACCATAATACGTAAAGAGCTATCTTACAATTAACATTAGATATCCGAGCAAAACACTGACCTCAAAAGTGGACCACCCTTCTCGAATGGTGGGTCTGGCGAACAGTCAAAGCAGTATAATTAGCGATCCAACCAATAGGGATTATCGTAACTAGCGGAATTGTCACGGACGCTTATGTACTACTACGTATACTAGCCTGGTGAATCGAACTAAAAATGCCGGTATGTATGTTACCAGAATTATGTATTACGTACGGTAAAGCTCCTCTCTTCCACCAGTTGGTCCCCCCAAAACGCGAGTCACATAAGGCGAGACACGAAGCTTTATCACGTAGGTGCCCCCAACCAATTTTTTACTATGGCTATCCCGTGGAACAGTCGCAGATCAGCATCCCGTTAAACAATCGTCTCAATACAGAGCCTTGCTTGCAATCGCAGATGTACCTCAACCGGATCAGTCTATCCTTGGAGCCTTCATCAACGAAGCTTTTGACCCCCCCAAGAGGCAGCTCAGTATTTTCCCCGTATGACCTATACTGGAGAAAACCGCCATTCAAAGAAAACAGTCTCGAAGTTTTTGTCGGAATGGAAAACCGCCATCGATAAGTGTGAAGACACAAAACTCACCGACAAGATCAGGGATAAATACAACAATGTCTGTCGCTAACTCATGGGGTATGGACCTTCTAACTTGAGGTTTAGTCCGGCTGACACGAGTATCCTCGCTGTCGAGTGAGACGCGGATGCTCATCTACAAAAGGGATGGGGGATGCTGTTGCCTTATGCGCACGCCCTTCAAATCATACATGGACCATAACCTTGAATACGTTCAGATGATCTCGACTCTTGTGTTTTCTGATCCAGATTTTGTCCGAGTGGGTGCGTATGATAATACTACAATGCCGAGTCAGCTAGCGGATACGATAGGCTGCTCTTTCCGAAATGCAGGAAGCTTTCTTGTCACCAAAGATGCTGGAGAATTGGCGCTCTGCTTTCTCCAGCCCGCAACATCAAGGCGTTAGAGAGACTTGATAATGTTTGGCTGTTGTCCACGAAGGCATTTGATGCTGTAAGAAAAGGTGAAGTGTACCTTATGGTCCAACGTTGGGCAAAACATCCAGATACGACTATAAGTCAGAGCGTTAGTTGGTATTTCTCATATTTTACAAGTTTACCTTGATACTGACTAACTGGAGTATAATGTGGATACCGACATGTTTGCACTCCGAGGTATCATTAACCACTCTTTGTTGACAAAACACATGATCCTTGAGAGCCATACTCCTCAACTTGACTCCTACTATTAAATGAAGAACTACTTGGAGTTCATGCACGTTTCTCAAAATCATTGGCCTGGATGGAGACAGGAAAGCAGATGAGGCATATGCCATTGATCGCGCATTTCGATGGTTTAGATCAGTCGGTGCCGTGTGACGAGGTTGAAAAAGATGGGAACAGCTGGCAGTCACGTTAGACCTAATGAACCAAATGCCCCTCACTCGCTAAGAAATAAGCAAACAATCGAACGAGACTAATAAGACCGCGCTGTGCTCCATCAGAATGCAATCCATAGAATGCAAGCGCACTATCTTCGTACTTGGGATAAAAAATAAACTCGACTATCTTGGGACGTCCAAAAACCCGGGCTATTCCACCGCTGTTCCATAGCTCGCACACGTCGTCACTGGTGGAGGAGCAAAGCTCTGCTTCAGCAACACCTCTTCCTTCCTGGGCTCTACCGACAAATGCTTTCATGGAAGCAGATCCCAGCACTCGGGTAACGGAGACAACGGCCGTTAATATCCCAAGTGGAGCCATGGCAAAAATGATATTATCAAGGAATGAAATGGATTCACTCAGGAACTGCTTGGTTGTCTGTTCTCCGAACAAAGACACCAGGGGAGCAAGGCCAGTTGCAAGGTTATTCGTAAAGTCATCCCAGCCGTCGGCGTTTACAGGAACAGCAACCATAAACAGGATGGCAATCAAGATAGCCATGATACATAGGATTACAGTAATTCTCACAGTCAGCTCAACCGGTGCAAAGTAGAATATTGTTTGAGTCAAGAAGCCAGCCTAATGTCTCTTCATGTCAAACTAGAATTGAGTGGAGCATACCAGCAATTTTTACCTTTGCCATCATAATGTCCACATCGGAACCTCTTATCAAAATATACTTTCTTCAGTGAATAATCCAAGCTACCCCAGACGTAATGTTCAACGTGGCTCTGGAAAGTGATTTTGAAAGTACGCATGCCTACTCGTTATGTAACAATAGCTGTTAGTTAGCTCCCAAGACACGACAGGACCTATATAACAGGCGTAGATTCAGAGAAGACGAGAGAGAAATGGGTAGAAATGCAGAGTATAAGATAGAAAATTACTTACCTCAGTAGAGCTCGCCTTTCTCGCCAGACACATAACCATTGGCATTGACGTACGCAGGCTATACCTATAGCATCAATGAGTCAATGACCAAAGCAGTCTTTAAAGGGGTCATCCTGCTGCAATGTTGTCTTTTAGATATTCGTCGTTTGTCTAGAGAACGAATTGGGCAAATAAATTTGATATTCAGTTTTTGAGTCATGAGTTCATGGTGTTAATGTGTTCGCAACGAGGACGCCGTGACTGCAATCCTCTTGGTATTCTGCGGCGCTGACAAGATTCAGCTCTAGTCTTCAAATGCCTGTATTCATATTCACACAAGCAAGATGTCACATGATGCGTCATGGAATTACGACACCCCGCTCATTTCTTCCTCCCAGCTATTTTTGCAAGTCTCCTGCGTCTCGTTTCTAAAAGAAAAAATCCTGATCAGCTGCCATGACCTCCAATACTTCCTCTCACACTGGTTTTAACCCGCTTCTCCTTTTCAGCTCACCAACTAGCGTCTAGTGAATCATCTAGACGGATCAACATACAAGATTCGTTTAGATGAGGCCGTAGCCAATGTATCACAGGCTATTGAGTGGGTTGAGAATACCGGGGAGCAGGTCCTACTTAGGTTATACCAAACTGGCAGGGACACTATGGCTGGTTTTAATAAGTTCAAACGGACCGGAATATCTGGGGAAAGGTCGACCGAGCGGTAAAAAACATCGCGAAGAACCAGAAGACAGTGACAAGGGCAAAGCAAGAAGTGACAAACAAAGGGGGGGGGGGGGGGGGGGGGGGGGGGACATGGCCGCGCTTTTTTGCTTATAAATAACGCGCAGAATTGGACAAAGACAGTGGGGAGACTTGTAAGGGCTGTTCCCGATTTTGAAGGTGCTATGAATCTACTCGTGCGCCCCCTTGTGGAAGGATTCTGTGAGATGAAGTCAGGCAAGACAAGATCATTAGATCCTGGTGGGACTGATATTCAGATGGCTATTGACTTTGCAAAGCTCTCCCCACGACCACAACCAATCAGCCGGGAAGAGCTGGCAGTACAGATAGTGATGCTGACGATGAGGGGGTTTGATGCTGGCAAACAGCTTCAGACGTGCCTGAACTTTCACGGGCTATTATCGAGGAACTCTCAGATGATGAAGATGTGGATAGAGCTATAGTTGAGGGTCGGCCCAACTATTAACGCAGCTATTAGCGGCCTCGGCCACCTAACTCACCCAGACGGGCCAGACCGCATCTACGCAAGAAGCCACACCGAGTACCGCACCAGAAGAGACAACTAAACCCCGGCCGAAAAGAAAAGCGAGAATCCCAAGGCCGAACAAAGAAACTCTAATTACCGCGGATAATGATTTTGGATCCCAGACCCAGAATCCCATGCGGAAGCCAGCGGAGCAGAACAACGCAAGACTATTGGATATTGGATTCGATGGCCAAAACTGTGGCGCCCGGCCCCAGCAAGCACCGCACCGTCCATTCCCGATCGTGATAATGGTGACAGGGATACTCGTGAATCTCCTTAAGCGATTCCATGTTGTTAATGCAGTTGATAAGGTTACTATCATGTGGGAAACTGGAGATATCATTGCCAATCCAATATTTAAATTGCTTGTTGAGCGGCCTACTGCAGGCTACTCGCTATTGGGACTTACTTCGGTAAGAAATAGGCCATTTACTTGGGCATACAGAGATTACTGGCGTCCATGATATCCAGGATGGAATTGTTCAGCAGCTGACTGAAATGGGTTCTGTCTGGTGGCTTCTCAATGCACTAAGCAAAAACGAGACACAACTCTATGCGATTTTCTAGTCGGCCACCATGCCTGCTGAAAATATTCCATTTGAAAAGACGGCCTGCATTTCATAAGAGCCGGGACGAGCTATATTTCATTCCGCACTAAATCAGATACTGACGCTAATATTGTGTTCCGACCCACCCTGCTATCAATGCAGATAATTCAGGAGATAAGCTCCAATAATGCCTCAGTGGCGCAAGTGATTAGATTCCTTCACACAAACAGAAGGGATAGAAAATCAGTCGATAAAGATCTTACAACCGGAGCCATACATCAGGTAATTGCCTGTCCGAGCACCATCTATTGGTCTGATGGAAACCTGGAAGATGAACAGCTGATAGATAAGAATGAAGAAGAGACGATGAAGGATGAACATGGACCTCGCGTTTAGTTATTTGGTAGTACTACTAAGCGGTGACTACTATTTTAGTAAATAATGAAATGAATTCAACTACCTCAAAGGTGAAGGGCTGCTCGAACATTACGCCCAAGACTCATGATTTTGTTTAGCAAAAGTATCACGGCCACGGATCACCTCCTCATCCTTCATAATTTGGCTACTATAGAGCTCTGAGGTAGTTTCTGCTTGTCTCTGTTTATAGCTCTCTGCAATTTTGACTCTTTGCTCGAGTCCTGACTGTGAAACAGTGGGAAGACACTCTCAAAGTAGAAAGCCTTTGATTCAATCACTGTGTACATACAGGCGCAAACATTTGGTGTACATGATATTTAAGAAGAAACTGTCAAAACGTGGAGTATTATTGTTGAGACTGGCTCATGAGTCATATGTGACGGACTAGGCCCGAAAGGCACCTCGTATCATAGATGCAGAGGACGATGAACGTTGAATGACACCTATACTAAAAGACTGGATTCTACTAACCATTAGAAAGAGCCTCATAGTAATGGATGGGTTCGTTGCTCGTGGTTATGTGACATGGATGTCTTCCCTCGTTCCCAAGTAGTTTTAGGGTTACTGGAGCAACATGACTAAGCAAACCAAACTCATCTCTGTCACAACGCCTATTGAATCTGATTAAGCAGACTGACCACTGAAACATTTATACCTGTTATCCTTGATACGCGCCTCCGACTTCAAATACCAAGTACAAAGTCCGACATGCGCTCCACGGCTGTGAGAAAAACACGCTCGAAGCGCCCAGCACGTGGTGCGCAGAACAGGAGAGGCGGGCTCCGTCCTGCCCGAGGAATCGAAGAGACAGGTATTATAAATCAGGTTGGATCTCAGGAACAAAGACAAGTCGACATTTCCAGTATATTTGACTCGCAATCACGCGTATCATGGTCAGATACCTTGGCTGCTCTCGAAAAGGAGTCGCTTGCTTCCCAAATACGCAGACACAAGGAATGGAAACGTAAGAAGGTTCTTTCTTGTTGCACAGGCTGATAAGTAGGACTAATGATAACAATTGGGTATCAGGAAACGGGTCAATCCATGAAGATTACTGTCGCGTTTGCTTGAAGTCAGATAGTCTCGAGCCATGCCTGACTTGCCGACTGGCATTTCATGGCGATTGCATGCCTGCTGGTTGGCTGCGGAACCCCCAAAATGAACTATTTTGTGTCATATGCGTAAGACGGGGTTGGCATATAATACCTCCTGCGCTTACACCACCCGCTTCGCCAAGATTGACAGAGGCACATGGCGCTCCTGCTACAGGCACTCCTGCGATAGAGGTCGACAGCGTTTCTCTATCAAATCCACACTCTCATGCTACACCCCTGCACAGGCAACCACAGGCGTCGTCAACACATGAACAAAGCATCAACGACAGAGAGGCTATACCAGCCACTAATCCAGCCCGAGAAGCCTCACCTGACAATGATGAGATGAATGAAAACATGTATACACAATCAGGAGTCTCTCAGCCGCCCCGACGCCAGCGAAAATCTCGGTATATGAGCCTGCCCAGCGAGGTTGATGCATCCCTCAATGTCCTATACCGAGAGCTTGAATCAAATGCATCGTTGAGACTAGAAATTGAGAACCTACGCGAAGAAAACACCCGATGTATGCAAACAATCCAGATGCGCGACCTCAATCTGATGGCTCTGCGCCGGGAGTTGGAACGTCGGCGATTTTCGGAACAAGAGCTCGAAAGACTACAGGCGAACGCGGCCCAACTCGAGAATGCAAACAAGGAGATTCAAGAGCTTCGGGCAAAGAATGAATCTCTGGAAGCAGAGCTGCAGATATCAAGGGAATCAGCAAAAGAAGCCAAAGCCCTTGTCGATGATTGGAAGTCGAAGCTGTCATTGCTGATTAATAATTGATTTCTCTTTCTTTTCTCCTTAGCGTTTGAGTGTTCTTGTTTTGGATTGACTATTTTAAGCGAGCTTTCTGGTTAATTTGGTAATTGCATTGTTCTGGCGAATTATATATCTCATCATCTAGTTTTCCTTTCTATAGTAACCCCTTGGATTATATACATCGCACAGAACCCCTGTATTCAATTAATTTTTATTATATATTCAAACATATTTGATCATAGTCTTCCCACAGGATATGGTAGAACAAAGAAATGCCGTAGAGTTGATTCGATAGACAACATGTCAGGGGCCACCTACGTTCGTCAAGACGCCGCTATCCCATGCGGCTAGGAATCCAAGAGCAAGGCTTAGTAGGTGTTGAGCCAGGAACAAAGCCCGAAGAACAACCCTAAGGGACAGCAATATCACGCATTCACATTCCACATCCAGCCCACTCTATCCACTCGCGTAGTAACAGCAGCAAAAGCGCCTAAAAGAATACAGACGCCGGCGAAGATCTGCGGCCATATAACTTCCTCCATCACCCATAACCAAAGCGACGTAGCAAAACCAACAATACTCAGAATCATGCCGAGTCTTGTACCTGTTCGCTTAATATCCGGGGTCATGGTCGTCTGCATGGCCTGTGGCCGGGAAGAGGGATTGTGCTGTGCTGCTCCGCCCACCAACCCATACAACGATGGTGAAGGCATACAAGCCGCGGACTGTGTTTACGGCGATCCAGCAGAGAGAGGATGATGATGATGATCGCCGAGGCAAAGCTGAGGAGGATCAGGATGCTTAGTTTGCCCGTCCACCAGTCCGTCCGACAATGCTTAGCACGAGACGGTTCTCTTGTGGTATGATTACCAATTGAATAGGTATTGATCCAGACCCACCTGCATGTCGACCAGCTTACGAATTGATATGAACAACCTTAAAATTGAAGGACATATTTACTTATGTAAAACAGGTTGGAAACTAATTCATTATTGCCAGGCAAAGAGAAGCTAACTCTAGGACCTCGCAAAACCGGATGGGTTGCACCCTCTGTTATGCGAAGCAACAACTTAATAGTTCTTAGTTGTGTCATTCATTGATTACCAATCACTATTACTGTCTGGCATGTCCTCGATCAACGAAATCTGCCTTACAATCCTGCTATCCGGCTGCAGTGTAATACTAACATAACAAGTAGATCGTACTTCGTACATGATTGGTAATCAACTGAGTACTTTTGACACCCAAGGGGTGTTGGGGTTGTTGGCCCCACGCTTACCAATCACCGGTATGATAAGATGCATTTCCATCATACTATTTACTAGTAGGATCCATACACCTGCAACTATAAAGGAACGTGTACTGGGCACTTGGACAAAGAGAGCTAAATGTGCCGTCATTACTCCACTGTATCCGTGTTCATTTGCAATTGAACCATATCCTATCAATCTGGCGCCACAAGAAATGAAATAGGTACCTGAACAGAAATCAAACCCTTATTAAACACCCACGGAGTAATGATTGTATGCCAAGAATGGCCCTCAAAACTGATGCTTTTATTGTACACTTCCAGAGGTATATCGAATGCTGGTTTTCAACCAGAGTATATACAACAAATTTTACCTGCGTACCGCCTCCAAATCCGCCGCCCACAGTGCCGCACCCACAGTGTTCGTGAACGAAAACGCGATAGAAGCGAAAGGAATCATTTCCAACACAAACGAGGCCATTCCAAGCCTGGTCAAAGCAAATCAGTAAAAGTCCAGACAAAAGCATATATCTCAAATGGAATAATGAAAAGCAATGAGTAAACCTACCCCGTATACGCCCCCCTATTCTTCTCCACCCATGCATCCTTCTGCTTCTCACCCCACCCCTTCAGCTGGAAATACCTCGTATGAGCCACGGGCCCTAACTTCTTTCCCTGCGCATATGCGTACATCGCTGTTCCCACCACCGGAATAAAATTCAACGGTAGAAGGATAAGCGTATGCAGCAACGCCTGCGGCTTCATCCGAGCCAGGGGGCGCTTCACCATTTTGCCCAACCGGGCAATGGCATCTCTACCCGCCTGCCGCTTGATCTGCCGACCCTCCGCGACAAGCGACTCATGACCGCGGGCAATGAGCGTGCCGTCGAAGGTATCCGTCAGTGCCTCTTCCAGGAGGAAAGAGCGAGCGAGAAAGTTCGTGATCGCAGAACTTTCGCTGAGGATGAGCAGAGCGGCGGATATGGGCGCCAACGGGCCGCTGGTGAAAGACATGATAGCTGCTTGTGGTACGTAGGTGAAGAAGAACATGGCGCCTGTCACGCTGAAACCGAGACTACTGATTTGTCCGACTTGTGAGAGGAGCGGACGCCAGAGGTCCTTGTGGTACGCGAAGTACACTATGCCCTGCGTTTAATGACTGTTAGAGTTTCTCCATATGAATCGTAATGTAAAGAATTGTGAGGCGACCACATCTATTTTTCTGCTCGCATTAGGGAGCTATCAAAAGGATCCCTCACCTTGAAAGGATAGAGGTATGCGCCCGATAGGGCGACCTCTTGAGCGACCTCTTGGGCATGCTTAGCCTCTTCAATGAGGGCCTTTTTGGCCTTGTCATCCATGGTGTGGTTGGTGTCTCCTGGTCGTGAGAGATCGTAAAAAGATTGAATGTTTTTATTTTCTTCTCAGGAGGCTTAGCGGCGGACACATGACGTCACGGGATTCAATAGTGCAATCTATTTATATTACCCGATCGATAGATCGAGTGCCTCGACCCACCCAGTTTTAATATACATACATAAATGCATAAATAGAGTAGACATGCACAAGGCAAGAAGGGGAGTGTCGTCACAATACGATCAGAAAACGCTATTCACCACGTTTAGGAAGAAAAAAAAACTAGGTAGTAACTGTCCAGAAAAGAGAAACATAAATGAAATCATTGGCTGCGGGCAGTTTTCAGCCGCTTTGTATAGCTAATGATCTGCCTCGTCCTGCACTGCGCCTGCACACCGTATCCGTAACGCCAACCAAGTCCAATGTGGACGGCCCAAAAGATCGCCAATGGGAAGTATTTTCCGATCGCAAAGCGGTGAGTCCCTGAAGGAACCGAGGTTCATGTTCATGCTTCGCTGTAACTATATGCCAGGGGTATTTGAGAAGGAAAAGTGAAAATATCATCGCTCGCGATCAGTCCGGCCTTGATGCCAAATAGTATCGCCACTGAGGGCCGAGAAGCTAAGTGCGGCGAAGTTTCTCCAGTTGGGCGGGGGCGCCGAAGATGAGTGCCGCTCAAGCAGACCAACATCTGAGCCACCGCGACGTTCGAGGTCAGACCCTTCATCTTCAACGCTGTTTGTAATCGGGACAGGAGCAGACGGCGCATTTGGATGGGAGTCTAGTTCATGAGGATAGGTGTGGTCAATCGACTCCGCAGATTCGCGTGTTTCAGCGGCCTTATTCTGGGACATTGACCGAACGACATCCCCTTTGCAGATGGGACAGGTTCGCCGACGAGTTGTCAGCCATGGAGTACTATTACTGTTAGCGATACAGACCAGAAGACATCTACTTGGACCGCCACTTACATGCACTCTGCATGGAACTCATGCCCACAGGGCAAGCTCATTACCCTGCTCTGCCCGTCCACGTATTCTTCGAGGCAGACAACACACTCTACCTGCCGGCCAGTATATTTGCGCCTCCAAAGCGCGGATGACGAGCCAGCCTTCTCTTTCTTGGATGACTTTGTTTTGGGGCTCTTCAGGTCTTCTGTGGCCTCCCGTGCTTCCTGCGAGCGACGGTGTCCCGAGCGGTTTCTAGAGCCCAGCAAGGGCGACGTTGGTGAGACCGGACCAGGGCTCGAGGACCGGGATGAGCTTGATGTGGAGGACGAAGACATGCTGATTGTGTGGTACGTCCTCACGGGGAGACGGTCAACAAGAGATTTTGGGGCTCGCCAACGTCTTCGACGGATGCGAGAGCGCAGCAACAAAAGAGCATAAACCGCTGTCAGTGTAAGCAGGGGGCTCACGACGAGTATCAGAAGGGTATCGAAGAACGGGCTAGTGGACATGCTTGTTGGTGTCAATGTAACCCATAAACCCTCGTGCTCGAGCTGCCCAGTGTTTTGGAGGCCCTGGAATCCAGATGCACCATGCAACTTTCGATCTTCGATATGATCTCGCCTAACAGGCCGACTCAAGTCCTTCTCGCCATCCTTCGTCCAAGAGAAATGTCTTGCAAACCATCCCTTGCTCTGCTTATGGTATTCGTGGGTGTCACTAGTCAAGCTCTGGTGGTTGGAACCGTGCAACTCTGCTTTGCTAGTTTTTGACTTATCTAGAGTACGATACTCGCCGCTTCCTGGGGTTATGCTGCCACCCTTGAGCGAGGCACCTGTGGGGCGTGAGCCTTTTCCGGTAGTCTGCATTTTGCTAGCCTCCGACTCCGGGACACTGCTCGGCAACGGGATGGAACTGCTGATCGGAACTAGAAGGTCTGGGTCGCGCCAATCCTGAACGCCAATCACAAACCCATCACCGTCGGCCGCTTGCGAAGCAACATCAGGTTTCTGGCGGTCGCCAGCACCGCTATCGGCTTTTGCCCGGTTGTGGCCATGATCGGTGCCATCCTCGGACATCTCCATATCCTCCCAGGGATCCTTTAGAACCCAGTCAATGTTTCCACTGCTGGGAGGTCGTTGGCTATCCTCTGGCAGGCGTCCACCATTCCTCCCCATTCCCAGCAGAGACCCGAGACTCTGAATGAAGCCTGCTTTGCGGGTCGCCGTGGTTGATTTCCTGCCAGATGATGTGGCATATCGCGTGGAAGTCGGCGACACAGCCGCGGTCGATGTCGTCGTAGGCACTATCTGCTGATTCCCAGTCGTACTCTGGCTGGAAAGTTTTGTGTGGCGTGGCCCAGAAGCATCATCTACGCTCGAGTCTCCCCCGGCCTGCGGAGGAACGAGTGACGAGAGCAAATGCGCCGTGGTATATGAGGTGAATAGAGCGGGAATTGTCACGTTGGACGTGTCACCTCGCGCGTACATGGTGATAAGGCTGCCTCCACGAGTATCGTCTCCAACAATCAACGCGATTCCTCCACGCCTTTGAACCCATTTGACCTTCTCCAAGAAGCCGCAGCCACCCCGACTCAATAGAACAACCTTACCGCTGATCTCAGCGCTCTCTTGTAAAGACTGTATATCAGCATGCTCAGTTTGCCTGTTCTGGTGGCTATCCCCGCGCTGCTCGGAGACACCCGACTCCGCTACCTTAGATTCGGGAAGTGGGTGGTGCAGATGATCATCCGTGCCATCGTTCGTCGATGGTGTCACAACACCGTCATTTGAGCTGGCTTGTGAGTCGATATCCTGTTTAGGATCCGTAAGATGGATATTCGAAGTCACCGGGTCAGCTCCAGCACCGGGGAGATGCTTCCCGAGCATGGCATCCGACGCCGCTGGTATATCCTGCCTGTGACCCTCGCCCTCACCCCACCCTGGAATATCTGAACACCCTAATTCGCCTTCCGCCCCGGTAGTGGTTCTATCTCCGAATCCGCTGCCGATCCATAGCTGACCGCTGAGCCCCTTGTCGGGAAGGAGCGGGCCAAACGCTGCGGGCCGGGCCAGGAAGAATGTCGAGTTATCATCGGTCAAGCTAATGATAGCAGACGGTGGGAACAGCGAGGAGGGTATGTTGAAGGAAAAGAGAGCATGAAGTCCCGTCGCTCGACCAGCGAACGAACTGGGGGTGGTCACACGAGACGATGATGTAAGAACAGAAAAGAGAGTGAGGAAGATCGGAAAGAAGATGAAACAGAAAACAAGGAAGATCAGACGTGGCGGTCGCATAGTTGAGCCTTGTCAGATATAGACAACCAGAAGACTACCTGTGTCTGACTGGAGGTGAAATCGACTATAATTCCAGGAAAGTTTCGGTGTTTGGTATGAAGGCTCTTTTGTTGTTGACTGACGAGCTATGACCAATCAGACGGTCGTCGAAGGAGAATAAAGCGGGCACTCATCGAGAGGGGAGGGAAAACAACAAAAGGAAAGCGAAGCAGATTAGCGATGTTCAGTCAGCACCTGGAGACAAAAAAGATGAAGGAGGGAAAAAGGAGGTGCAGAAAGAGTCATGAACGATGCGATGGGGGGTGGTGGGTGGAGAAGGGGAGAAAGAAAGAGAGTTTAGTGTGTGAGGGTGAACTCCGTTCAAGCGCCTGGAGAGCGTCTCCGTAACACGCAACAACCGCAGCACAGCCTCGGAGTCACGGGATAGTGTTGTATGCCTCAGGCATGAAAGGTCAGGCAACGCTGGTCGAGAGCGACTACAATAATTCTTGTTTGCCGACCTGGTCACGGCAGTGGAGTCCGCATTCCTTGTTTGTTTGTAGGGGTTTCTCCCATGTCTCACTGTATCGTACGTACAATATTCGACTATCACCGGACACCTGCGATATCCCAAGGATTATCTTTACGATACTTAATTTTCAAGAAGTTCGGTTCCTCTCTGAATAAGGTAAGAAATCGTCCCCCGCAGATCATGCTGTCATCGGTCCCCACCCCACATCAACGGATTGCATTTCGATCGTCGCCCTACGCGCATTCACGGGACCACTTTGCCCTAGACATCCCGCATGGATGGTCCGTCCAACTCCCAAGTAAGATCTTAATTGTCCACGTGAAGTAATGCTCAAGATGGAACCAAAAGAACTCTTCCTCCTTCTACTTGCCATTCACTGCTATGTCAATTTTCATAAAGTATGTCGTATCTCTAGACTTCAAGGTTTATGTCCCTGGGACTTGAAAAAAAATAAATAAATAATTGAAAATAAAAATGAGTGATCTGGTTGCTTGAATATGCTAAGTACTGCATTTTCCTCTGGAACCCAATTTCTATGACCGTCAAACATACTGACCGTACAAAGAAAAAATTTCCACTCGAAGAGTACTACTCAGTACACAGTAACAGTGCGGAACACCATTTCATGGTTTGTATGGGTCTGTTTCCCCTTACGATAGGCAAAGGTGGAACCCTCCATGAAGGTGGGGGTGACTGATAAATTGTGGCGGCCATCGGACGAGTCGTGGCTGATGCTGGTGGTCCCAATAGCTTATTTGGTTCCGTTTGGGGCTAGTGACGTGTTTAGTACCACAAACGATCGTCCTCTTAACTTCAAGATACACACAACAAAGACATGATGAAGACATCCAACGTCATTGTCCCAAATTGAACCACTTTTTGGTCCCTCCATCACCGGTTCATTACAAATCTCCCCCGATGGCGTCAAGTGTACAGAAGGCGTACAATCGCCCATTGTTGAAGTATATATATCAATGTCCGTCGGGGGTTCTACGCTCTGAATAACATCTATTCGTGAACTATGAATACTACCTCCCGAAGCTGATTATACACTGTTCGAGAAAAGTTAATCTTCTACATCATAGCACTCCACAATGTCGCATCTCCTTCACAAGGTCAAAGATGCCGTAACCGGCCATCACCACGATTCCAACGGTATGAGAGCCAGCTGCTGTGAGAATCCATATCAACCCTTGCTGACAAATAATTTTCTTGCTTAGAGCATCGTAGTCAGGCTGGAAATTCTAATGCTGGAAAACACGAATCAGATACTGGCTATGGATATAGGCCCACCGATAAGTATGGGTCCAATACCAGCGACTACAGCTCTCACGAATACGGATCGAAGAGGGGTGCGGGCAGCTATGACTCCAGCACCAACACATACGGTTCTCACACTGGCCAGGGCAGCTACGGATCCAACACTACTAATTACGACAAGCCTAACACAGGCAATTATGGGACTGGTGCTGGTGAACATGGCTCCCATCCAACTGCGGGTAACTATGGGTCTGGTGCTGGAGAGTATGGCACCCGCCCTAATGCTCGTAATTATGAAACCGGCGCTGGGGAGTATGACTCTCGTCAAGGTGCGGTTCATTATGGAACAGGCACCGGTGATCTTGGCTCTCAGGCAGGCGCTGGCGGTTATGGTGGTTTTGGGTCTGGCCCTGGTCGTTATAGTTCAGGCACAGACTCTTATGGTTCCCCTGGTGGTGCACCAGGAGGTAGCAGCTACAACACGCCTGGATCCGGCATCAGCCGGCACAGTGAAGGTGCTCATGGTCATGATCCGAGTAAACTGGGCTCTCGTACTCTTGAGTCAGATAACCGATACCCTGCAGGCGGCACACAGCGTAGCCAACGGTAAGCAACGTTCAATGATAGGTGTGTATCTGCGTTTGTGAAGTTGTTCCTTGTATCGAATTTGCCAAGTGAATTTCCTGCTGTCTTGCCATAATCAGGTAGATGTAATAAATAGCTGTGCTCAAACTGGCACGTTTCGCCTAAGGAATAATTACATGCTTGTGTCTCAAGATTTAGTTGAATATATCCCTGTTAGTCATTATTTCTCGAAGTAATAGTGTCTAACTCAAACTCAGGCGATTGATCCTTCCTACTACTAGTCCGCAGAAATACTAGAAGATATGCATAAGTATCGCTGACCTGTACCTTCCTTATCTTTTCTCTAATGCGAGAGATGCCCATCTGTTTACTACGTTGTACATTGGCCATATCACATTACAATGCAAATGCCCTGGCAGAGACACGTACTTCTGCTAAAGTATATCGTTTTATGCGTATCTAACAAATATCCTGGCGAGGTCGTGGAATACATTGGAATAGCTCAGTGTTGAGATGTCGGATGAAGTGAGGACCAGAAAAAACCGCCGTCGTAAGGCATTTCTCCTCACACAGGCTGATTAGGCGGGCGCGGGAGTAGTGCCTCTGTTTTTTTACCAGCTGATCCCAACTTCTACAACAGGACAAAAGTCTCGCAGGAAGAAGGCTGCAGTGACCATCGAGAACATCGCGCCAGGAAGAGCTCCTCTAGGCGCCTGTCGCCCAATTCCCAGTGCCATTAGTCCGGTTCAACATGTTCAAAACAGAGCCGTCACGCCTTCTTCCAGTGAATGGCCAAGGCCTGCATCAAAGTGCGACTCGTTACATGTTAGTCAGTACCTAGCAAATTCTTCGCGATTTCTGCGCGTGTTCTAACTCCCCAATCCTTGTCCAGTCTTCTGGGTCGCGTCTCTCTACACTAACACCAGCGCCTCAGCTCACTCCCATCAGAACAGACGGCGCCTTTCCCCTTCAACCAGTCTCCAAGAACACCAAAATCAGGCGCTTCACATCCTTTCTTCCACAAACTCCCCTTCCGAATAGTCTCTCGCAATCCTCGCTACACTCGATCACGCGGCCTGACTCTCTTGCAGAACAAGCACGGCCTCTCCCAAAGAGTCTTGTCCCTCCCCTAGTTGCCGAAGATAATCACATCGCATCGAGGATGGCCTTTAGAAGACCCTTCATGAGGCCTCAGACCCTTAGGTCCAGAAATATACAGAGCCCGATGTACCAGGATGACGTTTATGAATTGCGTAATCTTGATGATCTGCCGTCGTCACAAGCTATCTGCTTGACCAAATTTGCCAAGGTACACCCCCGAAACAAAGGCAATAAGTCCTGGAAGCCTTTGCAACTCGAGAGCATCGAAGACAGCGGTAGCAAGGACAGCCAAACCCCCATGGCCCTCTTCGAAACGGGCCAAAGCAAGCCTCGCTCTCGATTATCTGCCCTTCATCGTGCACATAGTGGTGAGTGTAATTTGAGCAAGCACAGTGAAAGGTCCTCAGCATCCTCTCAGGTTCATTCGCAATCGTACAATTATAGTCCAGAAGTACAGTGTGGGGAAGAGGCATGGCCGACAAATGCAGGCATTATTCAATACCGAGAGAATCCTCTTAACTATTCCCAGAACTACGAAATCCCCTATTACTACTCACATTCACAGCAACATAGCTGCATATCAGAGAGCCCCTTCCTGAGAAATGATGAATATCACAGCTCTGAGCACCTTCCTTGGTCGACAGATCTACATTCGATCTCCAGTGGGCTGTCTTTCATGGGTGTACCGCAGCCCAACCTTTACAACCAGAATTTCATAGCTGAGGGTAACATCATGACGGACTCCTCTCTGAATATCTATAGCGCCAGTTTCGACACGCCGGACAACCGGTCTCCTTACGAATCGGTACCTGTTCACTACGATCATGCTGTCGCTCATGAGAGCTTATTAACTCTACACCCATCGCTCTTGGAGTCACAAGAAGATCGATCGAGGGATTTCTCATCTCTCTCATGGGATCCTTCTTTGGATGTTGCGCACGAGCATGTACCAAGCCCTAAGCCAAGTACACCTGTGATGGAGTGTCAGTCAGAGACGTCGGCTTTGTCCTGCTCTCCACTTTCGAATGATATAGATGCTCCACAAATACCTCGTGCTGATACCTCAGGCCCTGACCGTGATAGTCCTTATCAAGATGACAAAGGCTATACTGACGAAGAAAAGTCGACCTTGTTTGGAAGGGCTGTGTATGAGAAAATTACTGCGGACCAGGACAACTTATCGGCCGCGCAAATGGAAGCATACGATGCACACATCCAGGGAACTACGGCTATGGACAGCCCACATGAACGTGTTTTTGATCTAAGCGGCGAGTCAACAACCACAGATTCAGTTGATTCGGGGGGAATAGATATCAGAGCAACCAGTCAGTTAGGACTGACTGAAAAGCCGTTGAGGCTGTGTCCTATCTGGTATGATTTTACTGAAAGATGGAAGGGTATTCCCGCGGCCGGCTTCTCAGGATATCTAAACCTAATGACTAGCAAACGCATAAGACCTCCACCTGGGCTCTCTGAGCCAGTGGTGCATAAACCAACAACATGGCCTTTGCCTTACAGAAATGATCCTCTAGTGACTCAGAAAAGACTTGATGAAGCGAATGAATGGTTTCGCAAAGATGCCCGAGGCCAGGAGCAACTTCGGGGGCAAGTCACAGACATCGCGCAGAACTACGCCGAAAGAATTGAAGGGCTTAGTGGAACAACTCGGGCGTTGCGGGAAAGTACAGCTGCAAAGCAAATGAGCTTACTCATAGGCAACGTCATCGTTAATCTACACTTCTACGTCTCTGAGGGCAATGAGGGAGATGCAGCAGATTTTGCAAACTTTGAAGATGTGGGCAGTTGTTATTGCGAGCCCAGCCTTGGTGGACGACGCAGTTATTTCGATCGAGACCCCTCCGTTGATCACTGGAAGCTTCGTTTTGGTCGGGCTCATTCGACTATGAGTTACCTGTCAGAATCAAACCTTTCATCGTCTCACGCCAGAGCTCCTTGATCTCACGACAGCCGACAATGTGCGAAGCAGGTGTCTACCTAATAAGTGGACAGGAACCTGGCCATTCCATGTAATGGACAACGTGACTTTGTGGACGGGAGAGTTGCACAGGGTGACAGAAAAATGCGAAGCGATTAATGGCCGGGATCAGAAATTCATGAGAACAGATAATCACAAACAGACGATGAAAGGTTATCGGAGACTTTAGTGGACTTGGAACGTTAAATTGAGGTCAGGTAGGCATGAACTCAGTGATATTCTCTGATATCGGTTACTGATCTTTAATTTCTGCAGATTTCTTATGTCTCAGAGAGACTCATTGGGGCCAATGGACAGAACTAGGAAGCATGACGACTGGTACAGGGCATGTCAGTATCTGTCTCAAAAGCAAGTATTACTACTAATTTATTATTTAGCTCCGACGTCGCGGGAATGAGGCGTATTCTGCATTCAGTAGTGCCTTGCTTGAGCGATCGCAGCCTAAACCGCTCATTAGGGCATGGATATGCTTGGCAAAACAGTCTTTTTAATTGTTCTACATAGTGAGAATTGATCATAGCAGTTTTCCACCCATTTCTCTCCTATATTTAGTAGTTAGTAGAAGAAGAGTATTAATAATCTACCATTAGTGAGGAATCTAAATTCCACCTGCGACCCACACACATTCCGAACGGGTCCACCGATGCAGTTGAAGCTTATGTAGGAGTTTTGCTTATCAAAGTTAGTTAATCGTCTCTGCTTTGTCAACTGCTCGCTGGAATATACATTCCGGACAGAGCATTAGTAATTCTATTCTCTTAGTTAACTAATCAAGCCACTCTACTCTAAATAATGACGTAGCTTACGTAGCATTCCCCGCCCTTTATTCCAAACATATAAGAAACGAGCAGCCGGTTTGTTATCACCGCCCAAAAAAAAAAAAAAAAAAATCAAAAAATCTCATTACTAGCATCATGTCACCCTCAAAGTCCCCGATCCGCGTTGGATTAATTGGCCTTTCCGCCGATGGCGGCTGGGCACCAGTCTCACACCTCCCATATCTCCAGAATTCCTCAAAATATACCATCACGGCTGTGTGCAACTCCTCCCTCGAAAGCGGCAACAAGGCTATTAGCAAATACCATCTCGACTCAGCCAAAGCCTACGACTCCGTGGAGTCAATGTGCGACTCCGCTACCGTCGATCTAGTCGTGTGCGTCGTGGTTGTTTTCTCACACTACAAGCTCATCAAACCTGCCATTGAGCGAGGCAAGGACGTCTACGTCGAGTGGCCTCTGTGCACGACGACCGAGGAATCAAAAGAACTGGCCCAATTGGCCAAAGAAAAGGGGGTCAAAACCATCATTGGCTTCCAATCTCGCGTTGGCCATGTCCACTCCACATTACAAGAGTTGCTTGATAGTGGAAGGATTGGTCGGGTTCTCGCTTCCCATATTGTCGGTAGCTCGACTACGCCGGAGACGGGTAATCGGCTGGATAAGCGCTACTTGTACTTCAAAGAACGTCATACCGAGGGTACTAAGGCCCAGGTCACCTTGACGATCTATATGGGTCACACGATGGATTTTGTTGCATCTCTGCTCGGCCAGCCGGAGACTGTCTCTGCGCTGTTGCAGACAACATGGCCATACGTCGATGTCGTGGATGGGGATACGGTCATTGAAAGAAACGTTAAGAAAACAGCCGACGATTACGCATCGCTTCATGGAATCTTGAACAAAGATGTTAAATACACCTATGTTCTCCGCGGTGGAGACGCATTCCAAGAAGGTGATGGTCTCGTATGGGATATCATTGGGGAGAAAGGCCAGATCCGGGTTACGGGTGCCACGATCATGTTCAATATTGGTGCAGATAACTACAAGATCCAGGTTAAGGACTATGAAACCGGGAAGATTGAAACGGTTCCCATGCATGAGAAACTGCCGCTGCCGTTGCTTGCGCAGAATGTTGGGATGTTGTATGAGAGGTTTGCCGATGGTCAGTTTGTTCCGAGTTTTGAGGATGCGGTGAGGAGGCATGAGTTTTTGGATGCTGTTTTTGCTTCGAATGAAGAGGGTGGATCGGTAAAGACATTTACCGTGAAATAGAAATAGAATCTAAGTAATCAATTTGCTTTGAGCTTGTGTTGATACGTATTGGGATACAATATTTGATCTCATACATTATGTCCTAAAGTATCGCCTAAGACTAGAACTAGATGAGATCCTCTATCATATCTGATCTCGAAAACTAGGTTATAACCTATTTTCTCTACCAATACAGAGCTAACACAAGACATGCATTTAGGTGACTGTTATGACATTAAGTACGTAAAAAGACCCAAAAAAGAAAAAAAAAAAGGCGTTAATTCAAAACAAGTAATTATCCTACATGTTAAAGTGCGAGTAGTCCATGGAAGATTTGTACATAATTTATCAGCTTTGCGAGGTACCTTCAACTTTAATCCTCGCGGTGGCATGTGTTTTGCTGCCAATCATGGAGAGTAGCGGCCGAAGAGATAGTATATGGGTGATCAGGACTCAAATATCGGTTGCGGAGACGAACACACTCGGTCATGATAAAGATAGCATCATCTTCTTTGCCTAGGCATTTCCAGGTGTGTGCAATGTTATTCATACTGGTCAGGGTGTCCGGATGCTGTCCCCCTAGTACTCGTCTCCGAGTCTCCAGCACCTGGATCTCTAATGCCTCTGCTTCTTCCCCACGCTGCTGGTTCCAATATATCGACGCAAGGTTGGCCATATTAGTCATGCTGTCGGGATGCTCCGGGCCCAGCGTCTTTAAACAGAGCCCCAGAACTTCAGTCTGTAGCTCTGCTGCCTTCTTCCAGCATCCTTGACTTACGTATGTTGACGCCAGGTTAGCCATGTTGGTTAGAGTGCAAGGGTGATATGGCCCCATCACTCGTCTGTATACCTCCAAAACTCCAGTTTCTAACTCTTCTGCTTCTTTATATCGTCCCTGACTACGATAGATAGAAGCTAAATTACTCACGCTAATCAAGGTATTTGGATGTTCGGCACCCAATATCGATTTTCGCGCCGTGACTACTTCCGCCTGCAGCTCCACTGCCTGGCCCCATCGTGCTTGTTTTGAGTATGTGGATGCTAAGTTGGCCAAGCTGGTCAGAGTGGAAGGATGCAGTGGGCCGAATAGAAGTCTTCGCGTTTCCATTACCCGTAGATGCAACTCTTCTGCCTCCTTCCATCGTCCTTGATTCCAATACGTTGAAGCTAGGTTAGTCATGCTGACTAGGGTGGAAGGATTTAAAGCACCTGTAGCCTCTCTCTGTTTCCCGGCCAGGTCAATCAATAACTCCTCGGCTTCATTGAATCTTCCATCAGTGCAAAGGCAGTTCGCCATCTTCCAGATGAGTGGTTCCCATTGCGCCTTTTGCTGTCTGTCCATTTCATTCATCACACACAGGGCGTGAGGCATATATTTACGCCACAACTCTCGATTTTTATGGTCATGATTTGGAAAAGCCACGGACAACTGAGTAGCGGCTCTTTGGATCCACGGGACAAATAGACTGGTGTTTCTCATCCAGTTACGAGCTGCAATGTAGACCAGTCGATGTAGGGTCAGTAGCATATCGTCAGCTTGGATATTGATAAAGGAATAAGCACTAAGAAGGCCCAGTGCATCCGTTTTCCTCTTACAAGATGTTGATGATGGTAGAATGGATTCTGGAATGCTGTGAAAATCAAAACAAGCCATAAGTAATAAATAGTCAGCTGCTAATTGGTCTATCTGCTGGATCTGCGTAAATGAAACCACCCATGTAGCAATGACGGGGTTTTGGGTTTCTGCATAGCGTCCATCGTCCTCGAAATTCTCACTCAGAAGCTCCACAACATTGGACTCTTGATCCTGTAGTAGTTTTAAATATTGAGATGGATCTAGGCAGTTTTCATTGATGTAGGACGATGCTTGTATTATGGCCAATGGGAGAAAAGCCAGCCATTTTAGCAGGGGAATGGTTGCATCGCTATTACGCAAGGTTTTGCGAACAAGTGATTTCTCCAGAATTCTTATACCGGTCTCTTCATCCGGCTCAGAGACTAGCATAACATGAGAAGATGCCAATTTAACTGCCAGTTTTTGATTTCGTGTTGTGAAGAGGATATGGCCTTGCTCGCTCTGAGGCAAAAAGTCTCTCAACACCAGTGCACCAGCAGGGGTTGGGATCCACATGTCCATGTCGTCTGCATTATCAAAGATAAGAAGCCACTTTCCAGCGCCTTCTTGGCTAAGATACACCTTGACTTGCTCCTTTGCCTCTGCTGGCTTCTCATTCATTATCCCTAGCTGTAGGGAGATGTTCATGTAGGCTTGTTCGACATTCTCAAAGCTGGTACATGGAATCCAAAAAATCGAGGTTCCAGGAACCTTTTCTCGAACGCGATAGGCTAGCTCCAGCGCAATTTGGGTCTTTCCAATTCCGCCTAGTCCACATATAGCAGTCTTCGTTGAACATTTTGAGTAAAGAATCGATTGTTCAAGACTGTTGATCTCGTTCTGTCGGCCGACAAACCGTGGGTTTCTCGCAAAGGGGACCATCCACCGACCTCTTTCTTTCCTGCTCAAATCATTGTTGTACGGAGGAACCACTTCCAGAAGAGCTCTTGCATAAGCCGCAGCGGTAAGTGCTGCATACCCCTGCCATTGTTTGTGTTTGTGCGAGTCACAATAGTCACAAATTCCTCGGATGACCAAGCATGGTAACTGATCCATCAACCCGGCTGCCTCCATCTCAAAGCAGAGGATATTTAACTCCTGAGCGATAGAATCCCGTATCTTCGCGTTCTTTATCACCTGATTCCCAGAAGCAATCAGTCCATAATGAATGGCTGGCTCATTACTTTCTCGCGTTGGACGAACCACTAGCTGGGACTGATCGCATAGTGAACAGTCAGCCATCTTGCCCGTATGGTCATAGCCCGGTTTGAATAGCCAGTCATGGTCCGGTCGGGAGAATTGTTCGTAGATCTTTTGGTACTTCTGAACCATCTCTGATATACCTTTCTTGATCAGTGAATCCCTGACCATGTAATCACTGCGTATTTGGGATACTGCAGTGAGTAGGTATTGTGGGGGTTTGTTAAGCAACCCAGCGCGCTGTAAATGTCCATTATAAAGTGTTTTCCCATAGTCATATTGGATCACGCCTCCAGATACCACAGTTGGCATACTAACAATTACATCGCCAAGGCGAATATCTGTGTTCTTGCTGGGCACCCCACCTCCGATGCCTACCATTAATCCAAATCGAAGAGAAGGAAATGTCGGTAACATATGAGCCAATACAACTGCAGCAGAGGTGGTACCGTAAACACCGGACGGGAGGCAGGCAATCACCACGTTATGGCCGGTAATGTTCCCAAGTGTGTAGACGTTGTGGTCGGTTTCCGGCTGGGGTAGTGAGGAATGAACGTTATCGAGCATGGTTTTGGCCGCTGTCATTTCCAGTGGCAGGGCACAGATCCATGCTACAGTATAGTCGTCGTGTGTGAAAACCATGCTTGTATGTTAACTTTTGTCCCCCGAAAAAAAAAAAAAAAAAAAAACAAAGAAAAGGATAAATATAGATAGAACCCCTTGGTTAGGGGCCATCTGGCGAAAGAATATATTGAACATTCAGGCTGACAAGGTGGGAATAGTTTGTTAGTACTTTAGTATTACTACTACGAACTACGACTAAGAAGAGGGGTAGTCTAGAGCACGTGGCAGTTGCGTCCCTACATAGAAACTATACCTTCTTTTGCCCTACAGCCTCGTTTCCTTTTTTCCCCCCTCCTTCTTTTTGTTCATTCCAGAGCAGGTACATATTGAATTAACTAAACATAACGGGATAAATAATATCATTGTAGTAAGGGACTCCTTCTGTTAAGGATAGAGATGTGATGATGTATAGATAGATAGACGTTTGAGGGATAGGAGGTGAGGGTTGGCTGGGGCCCTTTCGATAAAGTCCTTTACTACAACAATAATATCATTATAACCATTTATGCCCATCAACAAAATTTAATCGGAAGCATGTTTATCCTCGCTCTCGCCGCCACTAGGAGCCATCTCAACCTTCTCGGACTCAGTGGCATGGTGGTCGGTGGTAGTCAAGCCAAGCTCGATCTGCATCTGGCCGATCTGCTCAATGCTGAGCTTCGGCAGCTGCTGGGCGACCTGGAAGGGCCACTTCTTCTCAATGTGAGCTTTGGCGAAGATAATGTCAATCTCTTCTAAATCACGACCGGCGGTCTCAACGTAGAAGAAATAGGTAAAGGGAATAGCGGTAAAGTTAATCAGGGCGAAGAATAGGTAGATACCCCAGGGGCTCTGGTTCGCAAAAACAGGGGTAAACATAACCACAGCGAAGTTGTTGATCCAGTTGGTACAAGTGGAAGCGGAAGCAGCCATGGTACGCGTGCGAAGAGGATTGATTTCCGGAGGGTAAATCCAAGGCAGAGGCAATGTAGTGAAGGCAAAGAAGCAGATGAACAGGAAGATACCAACGGCGGCACCCTTGGCATTTTCGGTAGTCCCGTGAATTAGACATCCCATGGTGATAATAAACGAAAGACCTTGGCCAAGGTAACCGATCAGGAATAGATTACGGCGACCGACCTTCTCAACCATGAAGAAGGAAGGAATAGTGGCAAGGGCGTAGACAGTGGAGAAAACACCACCGATAATCAGAGCCATCTTGTGGTCCATATGAAGGTTGTTCTCAAAAAGGATGGTCGAGTAGTAGATAGCTGCATTACAACCAGTAAATTGCTGGAAGAACTGGCCAGAACAACCTATCATCATACGCTGGAACTCCTGGGTCTTGCCGAAGGTAAAGAGGGTCCTCCAGCTGCTAGTGGACTCCTGGGCCTCAGCAGCCTTCATATCAGCCTTCATCAGGTTGAAATCGGAAAGGACGTCCTCTGCATCCACAGAGCTGTCATTGAGCATGGCCATGACTTGGATAGCCTCATCGTCCTTGCCCCGCATAATAAACCAACGAGGAGACTCGGGCAGCATAAGAGCACCGATAATAACAAAGATAGCGAACAGGATCTGGAAGGCGACAGGGAACCGCCATTGGACGGAGGATTCGGTATAGGAAAGACCGAAATCAATCCAGTAAGCAATTAAGGTACCAACAGCAATAATAGCACCCTCAAAGCAGACGAGGAAGCCACGGTTGTGGGCCTTAGAACACTCAGACTGCCAGACGGGGATAGTGGCAGTGTCCATACCGTTTCCAAGACCAGAGATTACACGACCAATCACGAATTGACCCAGACCCCAGGAATGGCCAAAGGCAGCCGTAGAGAGAACAGTACCGATCACCATAAGAACACCCCCAGTGACCAGCAAAGGGGTACGGCCCGTGCGCTGACCAAAGCAGAGAGTGAAGATAGCACCGAAGAAACAGCCCAGTTCGTAGCAGGAGTTGACGGCACCCTGTAGGACGGAGACATGCTCCGGGTTGTTGCCAGGGAGTTTGTTATCGAGGACAGGGAACTCGCCGACGAAAGATGTCCCTTGCATAATACCAGACATCAGACCCTGATCATAACCAAATAGGGAGAAACCGACGACGGAGGTGAAGGTGATGGCCCAGCGGAGCTTCCTGCCCCGGAGACCGGAGTTGGTTGTCCACATATTGAGATGTTGTTTGCCTCTATCTCACTAAAAGAGGGAGGATAAGGAGATACTGAAATCACGAAGAAAGAATAGGCATGGACTCCCCGGGGGGTGGGCGATGTTTTTTTATCCTTTTCAGATGTATGTATGCGTCTGCTTCTTGCATCTGTGGGCATCAGGGGCCCCAGATCCACTGGGCTCCATCGGGAAGTCCCGCCAAGGGAAAGATAGATTAAATATGACGGCAGCTTGGGTACCGTAAGGTAAGTGTTGCGACCTACCGTGGGGGCCGAGGGCCTTGTGAGTGGACTAGGGGCAGAGGGAGAGGCAAGTCTGGCGGGCTGCCGAGAGGGCCGAACGCCCCATTCATGCGAATCGAGTCATAGTAGTGGCTTAAGACTTTTTTCGGTTTCAGTCGCCGAGGATTGGCGCCGTTGCCAAAGGCGAACAAGCTCCCGCGCCCACCGTTCGCGGATGGTAGGGCTAGGGTTGGAAATCCGGGGGGGGTGATTCGGGGTAGCCGATGGTAAAGTTAGGTTTGTTCAGTTCTACTTTTACATAGATGGACGCAAAGAAATCATCCTAATGGGATTCATTGAATTAATTGAAGTAACTAACTATAACGATTAGTCATAACTCACATGGATCATATCAATCGAATAGAATACTAAAATGCAAAACGAAAATCGATTACTGCCTAGGATTTATTGTCCACCGCAAGAGGAATCTCGCCTGACCCTCCATGACCTCCACAAGGAAAAACGAAAAACGGGGGAAAACGGGGAGAGGCCCGGTGGGCCAATAGGGCTAAAAAAAAGCCATTCCTTTGTCCTGGGTGAACCACTGAGCGTGCCCCATTCCCCATGATAATTAATAGACCCTTGGGGCCGGGGTCGAATCATACTGTTGAATATCTATCACACATGAAACTCGCCTCAGTTGCCCCTTTCATTCCCCCGTATTGTCCTCGGCCTTGTTGACGCTGGCCCGATGCCGACAACTGGATAGGTTGCACTTCCAAGTTCTGCTTCATCTCTGGCCACTCCCGTTCTCCAGATAATCCTCCGATGTTGGGGATGGGCTCCGCACTAACGCTACGTCACCGATCACAATGACCTTTCGAACTCTGCCAAGGACGCCTTGGCCTACCGGAATAAATAGGTACTCTGTAGATCCCTGACTCGTCTGGAGGAGGGCCAAAGGATCTCTCCCCATGGGCCCCCCCCCCCGAGTGCAACGTGTCGTCGGTCAGGCGAAACGAACTACACGAAGTAACACGTTTTTCTCATTTGCCCCGTGGAACCAGCTGGGGGCCGAGTGCAGCCCTACCTGAAAGCTATAGATAGTCCTAATCCTCTGATCGATTGATCGGATGTTTTACTCCGTAGATGCCTGGTGGGTCTAGTCGCCAAGGCGGGGAAACGAAGGCGGGGTCGAGGGCAGCGGCCCGCAGGTTTAAATTGCGCCACCCGTATTGCCGACCGCCCCAGAGACACAACACAAGACTTTTCCAAGAGGACCAAGACCTTTCCAAGACCTTTCCAAGACTTTTCCAAGGCGTCTTAGCCATGACTGCTAATCCAACGTCTCAGATATCTTTATTTACTCAAGACTATTACTAGAAATTATCTCGGATCGCGCACATCAGTTAGAAAAAGAAAAAGGAAAGAAAAAGAAAAAAAAAACAGTCCATTAGCCCCAAGAACCCAGCACCAAAACCACACCGATAAAATTCCAATCAATCTTATCGCTTGGATTATATAAACATTAGGAGCTCCACCTCGGAACTTGGTTGAGAGTCCGTGCACCATGAAATGGTGCCGGAAAACTTACTCCTTGAAGTATAGAAGTAGTAAATAGTAGCTGAACACTTACCGGTTGAGGTTGAGAAGAGATTATTATGGAGCTCTTCTGTACTATTATTATCAAGACCTTTTTTTATGGACTTCAACACAACTTGAATTCCAAATCAAGACACTGTCTTTCTAATCCTCTAACCCCCTAATCCCTAGTCACCCTGAATACCCTGGTGTTGGCAGTAGGAATACATAATAGTAATACTACGCGTGGTTCTCCAGCATTCTGTTGATAGAAGTATTGCTGCACTAAATATTGGGCCCATGTTTCTTTTTGGACGATCCGCTAAATGAGTGCCACCCAATGGATTCTCTAGGAGAGTCAACAAAAAATAAATAATCATGGCAGAGCGCCGTAGCGATTGCGCGTCTCTCTCAGTGGTTCACGTCAGCCCTCACAGCCTCCTCCATTCGTCCTGGAGAACGAAAGAGGGACATTAGGATTCAGCCAAGAGATTTAAATAAGGTACATAATACCTCGCGAATATGTCTATTGAAATTATCAGTGGGTCATAGAGATGAAAACTCAAAGACATACATTCAGCGATTGCATCTGGTGGAAAGACCGTACGTTGCCCAGACAATGCACGACATCCAGTTGACGGATGGAGCGCCACCCGTCCGCGCAAAAGAAACATGCCCGGTACCATGGACAGAATGTACCTTTGACTTCGGTGCCCTCGGTTGGACGCCAAAGGATGTTTTCCCTGCACTTCTCCTGTTCTGTGCGGCCGTGTCTTACGGAGACCTCCGAAACTACACTGGGTGTGGTATAATCGGGATTGATGCAAACGCCCAACTTACTCCCATCCGCAAAACGGACAACCTCGTGGACTGCCTCGTACCCATCGAACCCGACTTCGACCTTGAATCGTCAATATCTCAGAATTTAAGAACTTTGGAGCATGATCTGTATGAAGAGGCCCCAGCGGCATCATGAGCACCAGAATGTCATGAGCGGAGGCACCATTCGTCACATCGTTATACTCGAGGAGAACAACAATGCAGGTGGGAAATCCCCGAAGTGGATGCAACAGCTCGAAGCTGCTGAACAGACAGATGAGCTCGTCCCCGCAACCGTTCTGCATTGTATCCTGGAACAATGCCTTTTGTTAGTTCGAATATGTATTAGACAACCAGGGGCAGATGGGGCTCACCGAACAGAAAGCGTCATCGAGAACTTATTGCACCTCCTCGTTAAATCGCTCAGTCACCCACGATTGCGGCTACTGGATGCAGTAGGAGACTTCCTACCCACCTCGCCTACGGCGTCCATACCAGATGTTCCACCATTCTGGGAGGTGTGCGTGCAAAAGGTAATCCAAGACCAATGTCGGAAATCCCCAGACTCCCTCGCAGTTGACGCATGGGACGGCTCCCTCACATATCGAGAGCTGGACGAACTGACCGACCGGCTGGCACGCGCACTGATGCACTTGGGGATAGGACTGGAGCGCTTCGTCCCCATCTACATGGAAAAGTCCCTATGGACAACGGTGGCCATCCTCGCCGTGATCAAAAGTGGTGGTGCGTTTAGTCTACTGAGCCCAGCCCATCCTTTACCCCGCCTGCAGCAGATCTGCGACGATCTCCGAAGTCCGTTTATACTGTCGTCGGAAGCGCAGGCAGCGCGGTGTCTGAAGCTGGGAGGAGAGGTTCTGGTTATAGAGAGTTTGGATCAAGCATGCCGATCAAGCCGTGTCCTCCAGGAGATGCCGCTGGCCCAGCCTGGCACTGCGCTCTATGTCGCTTTTACGTCGGGCTCCACGGGGAAGCCAAAAGGAGTCGTGATTGAACACCAGGCGTACTGCTCAAGCGCTCAGTCGCATATACAGGCCTTCCAGATCAACGACAGGTCCCGCCTCCTGCAGTTCGCCGCCTACGCGTTTGATGTGAGCACTCTAGAGACTTTAATCACGCTGATGGCTGGAGCGTGTCTCTGCGTACCGAGTAAGGCTCAACGAAATCATGTGGTATTGTTCGAAGACGCCTTAAGGGCCTTCCGTCTCACCCACGTAGGCCTCCCTCCCTCCTTTGCTCGAATAGTTCCCTGGGCGAATCTCGAAGAGCGGCCCACGTTGTTACTCGGCGGCGAGCCGATGCGCAAGTCAGACAGGACCATTTATAGCGCGCTCGGGATGCGCTTTATGAATGCATACGGGCCTACTGAATGCTCTGTCAATGCGACAATCCATGATCGTGTCCGGCCCAGACATTCGGTGCAAAACATCGGCAAGCCTACCGGGGCGGTTGCGTGGATCGTCGACCCCAACGACATGGAGAAGCCGATGCAATGGAACGAGGTGGGTGAGCTACTTCTTGAAGGCCCAATAGTGGGCCGGGGATATTTGAACAACAGCGATGCGACCCATAAGGCCTTTATCGACCCTCCAGCATGGCTTCGGCAGCTGTGAAGGGGCCAGTATCAGCATTGGGTTTACTGGACTGGGGATCTAGCGTCTCAGGATCAAACAGGGACTATTCACATCGTCGGTCGCAAGGACGGACAGTTCAAGATTCGGGGGCAGCGCGTCGAGGTCGCCGATGTCGAACATCACGTCAACGACGTTGTGGCCATCAGCACTGAAGTTGTGGAGAAGGTCAATACGTCCGAGGACCACCAGAGGCTCATCGCATTTATCGTCCTTGATGGGCCGTTACCTGCTCAGATGACTGACTCGCTCTTTCTAGCAACGGATGCCTCTGACCTGGAGACTTTAAAAGCCATTTAAGAGCAGCTGCACAACCGTCTTCCCCGGTACATGGCTCCCGATCTGTGGATTCCCTTGGCCCATCTACCCAAGGCAGCGTCTGGCAAAATCGACCGACGTTTATTGAGAGACACCGCAGCGGCAATGTCGCAAAGAGATCTTTACGCCTTTGCGGGATCCCTGACAGAGAAACGGGCTCCTGCCACTTCCAGTGAACGGACACTACAGCAAGTGTACGCTGATATCCTCCAAGTCCCGCCCACCGCCATTGACATGGACGATACCTTTTTGCGCCTTGGTGGTGATTCCGCCCAGGCTATTCGTCTGGTCAGGGCTGCAAGAAAGGCGGGACTGACCGTTCAGATGCAGGAGGTCCTCGCTAAGGTCAGTATCGCCGACCAGGCGGACAAGGCCATAACGATTGCATCTTTGCCTGAGGCTATCTATGAGCCATTCAGTCTGGTGGGGGCCTCTGTGCAGGCTGATGTTCTTAGGCTGGGCCAGGAGCAATGCCGTGTGCAACGGTCCCAGATAGAAGACATTTATCCGTGCACGCCCCTGCAAGAGAGCATGTACTCATCCTCGTTGCAGCACCCTGGAATGTACACCGGAAACATTGTTTTTCGAATCCCTCTCGGTGTGGATATCTCCAGGTTGAAACATGCGTGGAAGGACACGGCGGACAACAACCCCATCCTGCGCACGCGGATTATCCAAACCTCACATGGGTTTTTTCAAGTCGTTGTCGACACCTTTGCGTGGCGGGAACATACCGGCTCCATTCTGGCAACTCCGGGATTCACGGAGCTGGTCGGGCAACCGTTGGTTCAATACCTTCACAAAGAGAAGGATCGTGAGCTGGTATTAACGAGTCACCACGCTGTGTCGGATGACTGGGCGCTACGTCTCGTTCTACAGCAGGTGGAAGCTGCGTATCAGGGTCATTTGCTGGAGAAGCAGCATTTCCATCCCTTCATTCAATACACCCAGAACCTTCGGGGCGTGGAGGAGTTCTGGGCTACGCAGCTGTCTGAACTGGATGCCGCGGTCTTTCCTGAGCTTCCAGCCAGCAATTACTGACCTTCGGCCACGCAGTCCCTCCAACATCAAATCGAGGGGCTTTGCGTAAACAAGCGAACGCCTCATACGCTCCCCACTTACATCTACCTTGCGTGGGCATTGCTCATTGCTCACTATACTGATTCGCCCGATGTGGTGTACGGCGCGACCCTGAGTGGACGCAATGCCTCAGTCCCAGCCATTGAGGCCATGGTCGGACCAACAATCACGACCCTTCCATTGCGCGTTCAATTGCAGTCTGGAATTTCGGTAGTGACCGCGTTGGACCAGGTACAAAAAACTCTGGCTTCAATGATTCCGTACGAACAGGCCGGGTTGCCACGGATTGCCAGGAGTTGCCAGGATGGCACGAGAGCCTGCCAGTTCCATAACCAACTCATAATCCAGTCCCCGGAGGAAACAGACCATACAAGTCTTTTTGAAATCGTCCAAGCGTCCGCCCATACCGGGCTGGATTATACAACCTTCTGTGGGTTCGCGATGATGCTGTCGGTCCTACCCAGCGCAGACCGGACCAGGATGGCTATTGATACTGCGTTCGATCCCCATGTCGTCTCGCCGGATGCTGTGTCAGTTTACGCACATTCTGCGTCAGATCCTGCAGCAGCCTGCGCAGCAGATAGAAACAGTGGGTATGGCGTCCCCGGATGACTTGGTTCAGCTCCAACAGTGGAATTCTCAGATACCTCCGGCGGATTCCCGGTCCTTGAACGACCTGGTTCTAACTCAGTGTCTCGATCAACCACGGGCCACGGCTGTGTGTGCGTGGGATGGGTCATTGACATATTCAGACCTAGGCGGCTTGTGCTCCTCCCTCGCCTACCGACTTAGCTTGCTGGACATGCACCCAAGTTCTTCAGTAGGGATCTGTTTGGAGCGGAGTAAATGGAGCGTTGCCGCTATCCTGGCCGTCCTGCGCGCCGGGGGAACATGTATCCTCCTGGACTTGCATCATCCACGCCAGAGAATTCACGATATTCTCAAAGAAACTTCCGTTCAAGTCATGATCAACAGCCAGGCGATGGCGGCAGTAACAAGCGGCCTCACGCCAATTGAGGTTCGTCTCGATCCAGCGATCACAGAGCTCCTGCCCCAGACGCCGTGCCTCCCTGATTCACCGGACCCCCTACTGCACCCGCCTTTATTCTGTTCACCTCTGGCAGCACCGGTCGTCCCAAAGGCATCGTCATGCCACACAGCACCCTAGCCTCCAGTATTAAGTATCATAGTGCACCGATGAATGTCGGTGCTGATTCGCGGGTGCTCCATTTCTCCTCGTATGCGTTTGATGTCAGTATATATGAGATCTTCACTACACTGGCGGCGGGCGCAACCCTCTGCATTCCGTCGGAATTTGAACGTAAAAACGCGCTTGCCGAGACGATCCGCCGATTCCAGGCCAACTGGGCGTTTCTCACCCCATCAACAGTGCAGACTTTGCAACCCTCGGAAGTCCCATGCCTGTCGACCTTGGTCCTGGGAGGGGAAGCTGTCACCCGCGAAAACGTCGATGTTTGGGCCCCTGGTCGCACGCTGGTCAACGGATACGGTCCCGCGGAAGCCACCATCTGCGGTGTTGGAACCATTCCGCCGACGGGGTGGAAGCCGGGGTTGATTGGGTCAATTGTCGGTGGTGTCGGCTGGGTGACAATGCCCACTGACACGTCACAGTTGGCTGCCATCGGGGCCATCGGAGAGCTGCTGCTGGAAGGACCTTTTCTGGCTGCAGGATACTTCAACCTCCCGGATGTCACGGCCGCTTCATTTATGAAGTCCCCGGCATGGAGACAGACAATGCCCCTGGGTCCATCCTCGGGTCTCTATCGGACGGGAGATCTCGTGCAGTACCAGGATGATGGAACCATTCGATACATGGGCCGTCAGGGCACGCGCATGAAGTTGCACGGCCAACTGATCGAACTGGGAGAAATCGAAACCAACACGCTCCATGAGTTCCTTGCGGCCAACGGAGTAGCCACGGCTCGACGTGCCGGGCTCAACTTCACCGTGGCGGACGTCCTGAGCCCGAGCAGCTCGTTGTCATCTCTTGCACTCTCCTTGCTGGAAGTCAGGCCCGGTCAAGAGAAACCTGTTTTGTCTGCTCCAGCTCAACCATCTATCCTCACATCAGTAGGTTTCCAGCAACATCTCAGCTCTCTACAACAGCAAGGAATACCGCCCCTGGCAGGAAATGTGACCAGCGCGCGGCCAGCTACGGAAGCACAATCAATACTCGTCTCGCGGTATCTGTGGTTCAATTTCCAGTTTCCATTCCAAGGCAAACTCAATGAAGATAGACTGCGAGATGCTTGTCGGGCACTTGTTCGTGCTCACAGTGTGCTGCGAGTTGTCTTCACTAAATATCGCGAGGACCTCGTCCAATTAACCCTAGCGGAAGATATGGATCTCCCTCTGCAGGTTGTAACGACCCATAACCAGTTAGACTCCTTTTGTGAATCTCTTTGCCATTCGGAGCAGGCTGTTTCGGTTCCTTCAGCAGGAGTCGCGACCCGTTTTACCCTGGTATCCAATCCCATGCATACAGACCAGCGACTCATCATCCGTCTGGCCCACGCCCAGTATGATGCCATTTCCATTCCGATTCTGGTCCACGATCTCGAATCAGTATACAATGATGGAAAGAAGATCGCGGATACCTCTTTTGACCGGTGCCTTGAACAACGAGCGCGGCACTCCGATCAAGAGCAGCAGCGAGCCTTCTGGCAGGAGTATCTGGCGGGCTCTTCTCCCCTTACCTCATCTCCCCTCGATCTCACGTCGGCCACCCACTTGGTCACAGGAACCTGTGATATCGCTCTCCCAGCTAGGCTCCCACCTTCGGTCACTCTTCCCACTGTCGTGAAAGCCGCTGCCTCTCTAGTCCTCGCTCGACACCTCCACCGACCTGATATCGTCATCGGTCAGATCGTCGATGGGCGCAGTCTGCCATTCCCCGACGTCGACCGAGTTGTAGGGGCTTTTAACAACTATATACCGTTCCGGGTACAGCCTCGTGCGTCCATGACCGTCCGAGACTACCTCCTCCATGCCCAAAGCCAGCATGCCCGGAGCTTAGGTTCCGAGTCTGTAGATTTGCGCACGATCGTCTCGCACTGCACCGATTGGCCGTCTTCGACGGAATTCGGGTATATTGTGCAGCATCAGACGGCTAATCACGGCCTAACGTTGACGCTAGGGTCCAAGTCTTCGTCTCTCAAACTGGTGGGCAGTCTCTCGCCCGGATCGGAGGTGTGGATTTGCTCTACCGAGACTCCATCTGGGGTGAGAATTGATATTCACTCCTCAGCGCAGAGGATGAGTCTCGACCGGGTCACATCTATGGCGTGTGACGTTTGCGCAATGATTAATGATCTTCTGACGAAGTTGGATGGGTATTTGTGTGCTATTGAAGGGATCACATTCCTAAGCTAGATTAGTATCTAGTCAATGACTTATAGTTTAGGGGAGCGTTTGCAGATGAAACGGCCGGACATTTTCCCGTCCGGTCACCGCTTCTCACCCCAAAATCAGGCACTCTGAGATGGAAAGATAAAGATCTCATTCGAAAGCGGTTCAAACTCCTCGGCCAGCAAAGGACCATCTTGGCGCATTTTCGATAAGCTGAAGCCTGAAAAAGAGACGGTTTGATGGTTGGGGGGGAATATTCTCGAGGAAGAAAGGTGTATGCCATTCTTGTGTATAGTTATGTGGATCCAGAGCATTTGGATTTGGACAGTGGTGTCTAGTTTGGGAGTCGTAGAGGACCAGATATACTCGGATTAAGGGTATGGAGGACGTGGGACGTATTTGCTTAGAGATTAGGATGCATCATTTTGGCACTTGAGCGCGGACCTTTTTATTTTCTTTGAGTTAGCTAAGAGATATCACACAAGTAGAGTGAGTAATGAGGGAGGCAGATTGAGTGGAAATGCGGAAGTTAAAAGCTTTCCAAGTGAATCTTCTGTTGTTGTAAATTTTGGTAATGTGATGTGATCTCCGGAGGGTCGAGTATAAGATAAATTCCAGTTCTAGTAGCGAGAATTACAAACAGCTCAGTATATAAGACATAACCCCTCACTGATAGTGCTAGTTATTGTGAGTAGGGATGTTGTAATGGCTGTATGTGATCTAGCGGAAGATAGTGATATTATGGTTGTGAAAGGGATGAAGGAAATCTTGCTTTTTCTTTTATATAGAGAGTAAATATCTGATTTGTCTCTCTATATTTCCTCTTTTTCTCGTGAGTTGACCTTAGGGCTATCTTGTTTAGGCGCAATAATGTGCAATATTTTACATTTATTAGCTTAGATCCAATTAGTTTAGATATTGTAAAACTAAGCACTATAAGGATCACCTTTTTTTTTATTTTTCTTTTCTTTCTTGATACACTAGTAGTCCATATGCTCACAGGATGTAGAGAGCTACAGTATAGTATAAGATAAGCTGTACACCAGCCATAACACAGGTGATTTATCAGCAATCCCGTCTAATCGGCACCCGTCAGGGCGTTAAGGTTCGGTGGGTGAATGCTTTTTCCTATTTTCAATTTTTTTTTTTCTTTACTTCCTTACATAAACCTCCTATTCTAATACTTTATATCCATGCTAAGAAGCACTTCTCTTGGAAATATCGAATTCAACCCCTATCGTCATCTATTTATACACTTTCAATTCAAAGGGAAATTTTACATCTTTGCACCATCGAACAGTACAACCCCCAAGGACCGGGCAGGGCAGTACTCGAACTCCATACACTCGCCATCTACCAAAGCACAGTGCTCTCCGTTAAACTCCTGGCCAGGAGGACACTGCGGTGGCTTGTCGCCAATACACTCCTTGGAGGCAGCATCCCACTTGGTGTTGGTCGGGCAAGTGGGATCGGTTTCGGCAACACACTTCTTGCCGTTGAACTTGAGGCCAGTAGGACAGCCTGGAATCTCCTCCGAGGCACACTCAGTACCGTCAAAGACCGTATCGGGGGGACACTCAGGAGCATCACCCACACAGGCGGTGCCGTTGAAGCTGGTCCCGGGCTCACACTCGGGTCGGACATCGGAGACACACTTGCCATTACGCAGAGTGTATCCTGGCTCACAGCCCTTGACTTCGGTGTTCACACATTCCCCATTGACCCACTTGTACAAGGGAGGGCAGGTAGGATGCTCGATGGTGACACACTGAGTACCATCGAAGATGAGACCCTTGTCACATTGTGGAGGTCCAGTGACACAGTCGTTACCCACAAGGACAGACCCGGATTTGCAGCTAGGGCGGGAGTTGGTGATGCAGGTGCCGTTGCTGGGCAAGCTACCGACGGGGCACTCAGGACGGTTGGACGAGACACAGCGGTGTCCGTCAAAGATCGTACCAGAGGTACAAGAAGGCCGGTTAATGGTGACACAATCCTTCCCATTGAAATATTTGCCGGTTTCACATTCGGGGGTGGTAATGACGCAGTTGGTGCCGTCAAAGCGTGCGTCACCCTCACAGGTCGGGGCGTCAATGCTCACACAATGCTCCCCTTCGAGCTTTGTTTCGTCGGGACAAGCGAGCGTCTCGGTTGAGACACAGTCAGAGCCCTTGAGCTGGTAGCCCTCAGGGCACTGAGGACTCTCCAACGAAGAGCACACGGTTCCGTCGCGAGTGTAGTCAGGAGGACACTCAGGGGGCTCGACCGAGACACAGCGGCTACCCTGGGGCTTAAACGTGGGAGGGCAGATGGGGACAGTGACAGTTTGTTTCTCGCAGCGATCCCCGATCTTGATGAGACCAGGTGGGCAGTTCCCATCCACATCCACTGGGATGAGGCATGCTTCTCCATTCCATGTCAGGCCTACGGGGCAACAGCGAGCAGTGTTGGAGAGACGGTCCACCGACAGTTGGGTACCGGAGTCACATTCAGCTTGGCTCGTTGAGTAGCATTGACCGTTTTCAAATTCCTGCTCGGGTGGGCAGGTGGGGTTCTGTGTAAGGGTGCAGGTCTGGGTCTTGGGGTTGAAGGTGGTGTCGTCAGGACAGGCTGGGCCCTGAACCGAGACACAGTTCTGGCCTTTGCGCACGGTTCCCTCAGGGCAGAGAGGCTTCTGCTCAGACACACAGCGCTTGACTGTCGAGTCGAATTGGCTTCCCGTGGGACAGGACGGCTGCTTCTTGCTAACACATACACCATTGCTGAGCTCGGTGGTATCCTGGGGGCAGGTGGGACCCTGGGAACTCACACAGTCCTGGCCATTGAAGCGGTCGTCACTCGGACACGTAGGATGCAGTTTAGACACACAGACCTGGCCGTGGAGCTCGAAACCCGCGGGGCACGCGGGGGGCTCCTTGGAGACACAAGCCTTATCCCGGAAGACAGTCGGGGGAGGGCAGTAAGGAGTGGCTTCGGTGACGCACACCCGGCCGTTGAATTCTTCACCTGGAGGACATGCCGGCTTGGAGACAGAGACACATTTGCCATCCTGGAAGATGGTGTTCTCCGGGCACTTGGGCACACCCAGTACACAGGACTGTCCGTCGAACAGGGTCCCCTCGGGACAACATTTCACCTCACCCGATCCAGCATGGGTCAAAGGCTTGATGTCGTCAAGCGTGTACTTGCGTCGGGGGGAAGAGAGAATATTCTGCTGGCCCGATGCTAGGATTGCATGACACAAAGGCGCCAGCAGGATCGCGACCGAAGCTGACCGGATGTTGATCATGGCAAACAAAACGTAATGACTGGGTTGATGCTTAGAAAGAGGAGAAAATTCTTGCCATATTGGAGGGAAGGAAAGGCCTTATATAGCTGCTTCTTGTTCGCGCTTGAGACTTTTGCTGTTGCAACTCATAGCAAAAGCTACGCCCGAAGAGCGATACTCGAACATGCCGAACGGAGGATCTCGGAAATGCGCGCACGGATTGCGGCATTTGTAAAAGAGTCAGGTCAGATCTTTGTGGAATATGTAACTGGTGGGGCATAAGGTTCGATATGATCGTCTTCAGCTCAGCCGAATCTGGGGAGCCCGCCAAGCTATATAGGTGGACCAGCCTACCAGGCTTCCAATTGCTTCTGAGGCATCGGCATCGGCATCGCCAGCTCAGCTCAGCTGCGGTCCGCCCCGCTTCCCAGTCTCCACATAAATGAAGTTAATGAACTGCAGAACTCAGACCTTCAAGATAGCAGGGAAAAGTCTTGCCGATTGTCATCCATTCTCGTACCTGCACCTCGCATGCACTCTAGACTTTAAAATGAACGCGTCATTTACCATGTGGATACGGGTGATCACTTCTGATCAATCATAGGGTTATTGACACAGTATGGGTGTCTGCACATATGTGTGAAACTAAACATCATACGCTGTGGATGGCGGAGATGTGCATGCACGATCTGCTTTTCAGCTCAAGAGGTTTCCCAAAAGAGGCAGGGTCCATTGAGCACTAAATTGAACTATCGATTCTAAGTTTTCTGTGGCTGGCTGATCGGTTGCTCACAAGGTAGCGACGTGTTAGACTGAAGGAGAGTCGGCACTGATATCGATGATCGCAGTGGGAGTCATCTCGAGACATGTATATCATGCCAACAGAGACCCAGAACCATTTTTCCCTCTCCTGCAATCCAAGATTTATTCCGCCAAATTTATCCCTGGCTTGTGCCTTCCTTTTTTTATCTGTTGCGGCCGTTGCGAGCAACAATGATCCTCAACCTTCCTCTGCTTGCTGTCCTGTCGGGCGTTGGGGTCACCTGGGCCGCCTCGTCGTCCAATTGCCTGTCAGGTTCCAGCTTCGACACATGCTGCTCTGATCGAGACGCTGTGGGCAAGGGCACTGTTGATGGTGTCGTCATGAATTATGCCTGTGGAACCTATGCTAAAGATGAGACGTTGGGTTTTGGAACGACGCACAAGGGCGTCGCCAATGCCAAGGAATGCGCCGGGCTTTGTGCCAGTGACGCTTCTTGTCAGGGCGGTTTCTGGTCTAAAGTGGGCTCCAAGTGCTATTTATTGAATGGCAGTGGCTACAAGACATATCACAACAAAGGCACATTCTTGCTATTCGAGAAAACCACCGAGGATCCAGGGTCTGTCGATGAATGCAAGGATCGGGTCGAGTCCGCCACCTCCCAGTGTAATACTGAGAAGGATAAGATCAAACAACAGGGAGCACAATTGTTGCAGAAGTGCCAGGATGATAAGGACCAAGCTATTGCACAGGCTGGGTCCAAGTGCGAAACTGAAAAAGATGCCATTCGCAAGGAGAATGCCCAACTGGCGGAGCAGGCCAGCAAGCAGTGTGAGGCTGACAAGAACCAAGCTCTCACACAGGCTGGGTCCAAGTGCGAAACTGAAAAAGATGCCATTCGCAAGGAGAATGCCCAACTGGCAGAGCAGGCCAGCAAGCAATGCGAGGCTGACAAAGATCAGCTTCGCCAGAAAGCAGCGACTGCAGCAAGTGAATACGAAAAGAAAATAGCAGATCTCCAGGCACAATTGACCCAGTGCCAGGCAAACGTGCCCACAGCGAAACCTGTCCCGGCTATAGATCCGAATTGCGAATCGAACAGCTGGATGAACATGTGTTCTAGTTGCTCCCAAGACACATTCGTTATCGACGGAAAGGAATTCAAGAAGAAGTGCGGTGTCCGCACTGTTGGCGCCCGTGAAGAACAATGGCTGTACCGCGCCTCCCTCATTGCGTGTATGAAGGAGTGTGCAACTCGGGGTGATTGTCTGGGAGTCGGATGGAGACCTACGGAAGGAATAAACGGAGTAAGTTATCACCAGAGCCCTCATATCCCAACATTGGTTCAGTTGACTAATACAACGAAGCATTGCCATGCCCACATAAGCATAGGACGCCCTCTCAGAAACGTGCCTGTCTGGAATGAGCATCTTGTCTACATGCCAGAGAGAGGGACTCCTTACTGATAGTGCTATCGTAAGTAAGTAGCATGTAATCTACTCAAAAGTGCGAACCGTGGGCGAAGGAAAGGTACTGCAAGTGCTAAAGCATCTACTGGATTTTAGAAAAAAAAAAATGATGAGCAAAATGACTTTTAATCTGATCGTAGTAGACCAAAGATATAAATATATAGAAGTTTTACTCGGCCAAGACCAACTCGTTCCCTACACTTACTAGCTTGAATTACGGCTTCGTAACCAACCATTCGACACACTCTGCTCACTTAGAAAGTGAAGAAGAGATACAGAGAACGACAATATATTGAGCACGTCAAATTAAGAGTACGGTTATAAGGGATCATAGATGGGTGAAGGTTAAGCCAAGTCAGCGTAAGAATGTGATGCCTGTCTAGGGTTGTTAAATATATAATACTTTACTAAGAGCTATAAGAACTATAAGGCTATGTTGTCCTCCAGCACGAAGTGGTGTGAACCATTCTTATCGGTGATCTCTGTTGATTCTCCTTTTCTTCCTTAACTTCTGTATTGTTCGATTGGCAGGCGCCCTCTACTTTTATATATTATACCCAGCTAAAGTGCGGACCCGTACCTAAAACTGCTCAACAGCAATTCAACTTCAACATGCCTTTAGCTTATATGCCCCTCAACGAAGATCGACATCAAATCCAACATCTCACTATTCTTCCAAGCAATAACCAAACAAGCCCGAATTATGGCCAACTTTATACGGCCTTACTTTATGATTCACCAGATCCAAGCCCTTTCGTACACTTGATACCTCTTCTAAGGACCAGTATATCTTTATCGACGGCCAAATCTTCTTCGTGATATCAAGCCTGGTGCAAGCCCTGTATCGTCTACATCGGCCTGATAAGCCTCGTTACTCTGTATGGATGCGATCTGCATCGGCCAAAGTAATATCCAAGAAAGGAGCTTTCAAGTTCCCCTGATGGGTGATATATGTTTAACAGCGAGCCGGGTGGTTTCCTAGCTAGAAATATCAAATCCTAATATCACGATGGCTCTCGAACCAGATAAGAAAACTCAGCAACAAGTCAGACTAGGGACAGATAGAGGTTTCTACCGAACCCGCTCTGTTTAGCTCATACAAGTGACTCACTTGGCGCTTGCACAAGCTTTGGTAGGCATACATGATGTTCTAAAGAGGGCATATTGGACACGGATATGGACATTCCAGTAATAACACTTACCTGGAGACAAGCTAACACGCATGTGTGGGGGGAATGACTGTTGGGCCAACTTTCATAGATACACGATCTTTGACAGCCCTGCCAACGATGATTAATGAGATACCAGATTGTTTTAGCAATGAGGGCACATCTGCGGATCAAGACTTTGAAGCAGCTGAGCATATTCGTGCCTTGGAAAAAACTCCTTGAAACAGAATCCGTCTTAACAATGACGATACCTAAACCATGGACGATAGGTTTAAGAGAGTTCTTTGAAAGACAAAGCAACATGCGCTCTCTCATTCAATGGACCTGGGATCGATAACACTCGAATCCTTTGGATCTTGTATATGGGCTATATGAAATGAACAATTACTACGTCATTGCGAGATTGAGACCAAAGAATGGTGTCTGCATGGGATGGTGCCAGCACATGTTAAAACGTGCAGATGGAGAGGGATCCACGATGGTCGAGTAATCCACTGATCGGACTCGACGCACTACACCGTTCGAGTAGATTGTTTCTTGTGCGGGTAACCCCATATGCTACCCAGTACAGTAAGAAGGACTTGATACAGCTCATGGATTATCCCTCTATTCGCTCCTTCACTCTGTTATGGTGGACCCGATGGATGGACCGGGGCTTGTAAAGTAAACCTTCAGCCAACCAGTGCAGAATAGAATTTGACGATTAATGGACTGCAGAAAGAAAATACATTTCTTTTCTCAGCTTGGAAACCCTGGGTGGTTGAAACGCTAGTCTACCTCGATTCCCTATCATTATATTTAAATAAATACGCCTCCCTCCCCACTCTCGCTAACCCCCACTAGCACGGACTCCTTGTATAAAGTCGACGATGTCTATAGAAATGGTGGGCAGAATTAATGTACTCATTTGTCTTACTCGTTTATCTATTTATCTATTCTTAAAGAAAATACCATAGGTAGTATGAGCACTATTTGTCTATCCTTAAAATGTATCGTAGGAACGTTCTCAGATCTTTTTTTTTTTTTTTTTTTTTTAGAT